TCATCAGAGTGGTCTGGATTCGGTTATGAAACTGTTGACGATGCGAATAACGTTCAACCTTCTCTCCTTCCGAATCCACGGTTTGATCTTGTATTATTATAATTCAAATAATATTTTTGAGTAAATCGTTTGCAATATAATTTTTGTTGTAATGGAGTGTTTTGAAGGTTATAAGCAGAGGTGATAAAACGTATTGTAGAGGATAAAACATAATTTTCGATTTATCTGCAATGAAACACTTTTTTTATTATAATATCATATTGCTCTACCGTTATTGTCAACGAAACAATTACCGTTTAACAATAATGTGATTGCTCTTTAATCGTGTCATTGATCATAATCGTCGAGCTGCCTGTTGTCTGATAGGAAATAAACAGCTGATATTATCAAGATTTTGTTCACTATCGAGTAAATAAAAATCATTACTCAAAAGTACTACTTTGATTTTCATTAAAATCAAAGCAAAAGTATTTAAAAATATAAACAACTTGTATACACATTGTTATGTTTTTGGCATTCGCTATTTTTTTATATCATTCAGTTTTGAAGAAAAATTCTCGTCAAAAGTTTAATATTTTTTGCTTATGTTAGAAAAATGTTCAATAATTTCAACTACTTCATCATTAGTATATCATCACAAATAATCAAGCGTGATCCGTACTTTTTCTTCGTAACAACTTCTCACTTATTTTTTTTGACTGATGTACATGTGTTTTAAGTGTTCAATTAGTTTATGAATTAATGTCAGACACGACGTTCAAACTAATGGATACTTATTATGACGATGAGTTGAAATCAATATTATTTTGTACAATAATACTGTAATGAAGCTAAATTAATAAGTGGAAAGCTATGCTTAGTTAATGAGCCAAACGATAAGAACTACATAAATAAGGCGTTGCGAGAATAAATAAATACGTTTTCTTTTTAAATCTTCCGTCTGTGATTTTGAATAGAATTAATTAACAAATTAACTTTAAGTTAAATTCCATTTCAAGGCTAAAGTGCTTCTTATCTCACTAGAATAAATAACATCAATTAAATCTAACTATTATTAAGAATAATGGTAATTAATATGACACCTCGAGCTTTACATAAAGAGGCATTCAATTTCATTAAACTGATCAAGTTTTTATGCAATATTTAAACGTTCCACTGAAATTATAATGATTATCTGTATAAAATTTAATTAAAAATTAATGATTAACAAATAAAATTCCTACTTAAACGACTATCAAATGAGATCTTTGAAATTAGTAGATTATACTTTAAGAGGAATAAATTAATAAATTAGTCTTGAACCAATGAACACTTTTCGTGTATTTACAACGTTCATATTTAAAAAATATAAATTATACTTAATTTTTAAAAATTTTCTAAGTTGTGTGGTTATGCTATATTCAATACGATTTTTAAAATATTGGTTAGCAAAATAATATAATTCATACGATATAAAAATAGAACTTTGTTTTAAATTTATATATATTTTTTGTCAAATTAAATATATCGTTGTTTAGTATTCATGTGAATAATTTTAAATTTAGTGAAACATATAAAAGTCAAGGATTCGCAGGTCAACTATTAGCATGATATTTTAGACGTACATTAATAAAAAGAAGTAGACGATTCAATGGCGCAATTAATTAGTTTCTTTTTCATATTTTATATTTATGACATGCGGTTTTTTAATATGAATATTTAAGCGTTTAAATGTATAATTATTTAACAATCTAGAAGTTCAACTTGCATTTGATTTGATATGTAAAACGTATTTTTTTTATGTGTTTGAACCGTTATAAAAAACTATACTATATAAAAAATGCATAATGTCGTTTGTGTCATACGGCTAATACTTAAAAAATATATTAAAAAATCTAGTAACACAATAAAATAGACAAGTTTAAATAAATAAAAATTTTAAAAATTTTAATTATGTAAATTATAGGATTATAAAAACAGTTTTAATTACAGATGTATTTGATTTTTGATTTGAAATACACACACTTGTGTTGTCTCGTGTTTACGTTTAATTACTAGAATTTGGGAGAACTGAATAATAATAATTATAATTCAGTTCATTAATTATTAATGGAAAGCGCTGAATTTATTATGACGCCTTTAAAATATCAAATTATAAATTTCTTTACTCGCAATCTTGCAAACTTATCGTCTTTTTCATTAACTAACTTTTACAAATTAAATTTATGTACAGTGTAACAGCGCACGGTTCAGTAATATTTTAAAAAGTTTTGTCAGAATTTCTTAAAACAAACTCTGTGAAAAAATTCGGCTACTGGCGATCCTATCGCTTTCTCACAAGACGCAGTGCTTGTGGATTCAGTTAATATCAAAAACGAAATATCTTAAACAAACACATCGAGAATTGAAGCACTTGATTTTTTCTATAAGTCTTTCGACACGGACTACCTTCGCTCTGTAATGTTGTTTACCAAAACANGCGAAATATCTTAAACAAACACGTCGGTCATCGAGAATTGAAGCACTTGATTTTTTCTATAAGTCTTTCGACACGGACTACCTTCGCTCTGTAATGTTGTTTACCAAAACACTGCAAACGCTGCTGCACCTCTTGGGTCATCGACACAAGTGGTCTATGACGCGCAGATAGGCACAATCAACATTGTATACTTTATTTATTAACGACTGCACCAGAAGAGATTTTTTTTATTATCATTTCCTCGGGTCATGGGAACCAAACGTATATGACTTTATCATTGTATGATTCGAATAGGTTTTCCCAGTCGTTCTCAGTTCACATTAGGCATATTTGAGAATAATCATTTTTTTTTTTTCATTCAAAGCCTATGCCGCAACACACTTCTCGTAACAATATGGTTATGTGCACAATGCAACGATCGGACTAATGTATTATGATAATACTCGATTATCGCCTTAAAACGACCTATTTCGTTAATATATGCAGCTGTTGGGCCATTGAAACCGAACCGAAAAATTTGTACGAATACTTTGTTTATTTAAATTTTGAATTTTGTAACTTAAAATAAACTAAGCAGCATCCGAATCGCTTGTCAATATCCATTCGATAGTTGTGAGCGCTAATTAAATAATCAGTAAAAAAATATCAGCTACACAAATTTCGAGTGGAGTATATGTATGGCGCGTGAAATAATTGCTTTCGTTTTAGAGGACCATGTTATTTGTTTGAACAATAGTAATAATTTTTACTGGCGAACGACTATTTTGCATAGATTTTCCGTTCCCTACGCTGTAAGTAACAGTTATCAATGAAACGAACCAGTAAAAATTTTCCCTCAAAGCTCAGTTAATAAATATATAACGAGTTCTCTGGTGTTCTCTCAGGCCACTTTGTATTACGAATTCCCAAAGCGAACATGGTAATTATTTTAATAATATGTACTAAACGAGAATCTTGAGAGAGATAATTTTTGAAAAATTACATGTTATTCGATTTCGTCTTTGATGTGCATTACCTAGGGCTTTTACTCGAGATGAGTTCACTTTGTCCGTTTAAATATTTTAATATGCTGTACCATAGCTGTTCTATAGGTACTTATACGTAGTTGTTTATTGTTTCAAACGTGTATGAGGCCAATGAAAATAGTTCTCTTCCAGTTTGCTGTAGTCGCGATGAATCTCATTGATTACGTATAAACTAATAGCTTACAATATAAGCTATTAATGAAATATGCATCCAAATTTTAGTAAGTTAAAAAAAAATTTAAAGCTTTGATGATTACAGTATATTATCCAAAATAAATGCAATTAGTCAGTACAATACAAGTGACTAAACAAATCAGTGTTAAGTGACAATAGCAATTGTAGACAATAGTAATTGATATTATTAATATCCTAAAAATTAATATACGAATCTTATAAATTATAAAATCTTATATAGGCATTTATTTTATTCATAATTGGATAATGATTTTTAAAAATTCAATGCCAAAAACCAATATAATATTTAAATTATTAATATAAATAATTTCTCTATTGCACGTAACTTTTATTCATTGAAAAACAATTCTTATGGAATATATTAAAATTGCATTTGGTAGAATAGTAATTTGATACAATTCATCTTGAAGTTAGGGTGCTGTAGCAAGTAACTTCTTTTCAGTGTGAATAAAATGAATTGATCATAAACACCTGTTGCCAAAAAACCGAACTTGAATAATTCATAACACCAGCTCTAGAGAGCTTTTGCATACACTCTGACGCTACCATTTCACCTCTTTTACGTTACAGTATTATTTTTTGTACATAAATTAACCTTATGAATTTTTATTGAGCACTTGAACTCTCGAAGTGCTTTAACTGCTTACCACGAGGAGTTGCGCATCTATGATCTTTAAATCTTATCGTAAATATTGTGTAGTATAATTTTATGAGCGCACGTGTATTATACGATATAATACAATTATTTATGCTGTATTATCTTATAGCACCTTGTTAGTTGTTGCTAAGAACTGGATTATAAAATCATACTGAGGCTTAATGGTTTTGTGCATAAAATATATCGATCTTGGCGGGCTCTTCGTATTTGTTGTTAGATAATGTCACACACGGTCGAAATATTATAACGCCATTTATATCGATTTTAATATTAACCTTAAACGCCATGAATTTTTGAAAACGTATAAAACAAAGGAAATATATTTGAAATTAATTAAACCTGTTTTTACGAGTATACTAATAAAAAAAGTGTTTGGCAAAAAAATTCTATCGTATGTATAAGACCGACCACTTCGAAGAGGCTTTATACTTATGTAGGCCTTAAACTGGGGCGTGTCAAGGAAATTACTAGAGATCGAATGTTCCACATGACAAAAATAATTAAAGGTGATATGTAGAGGGGATGGTTAACAATTTTTTCATGTATAATACCTTGTAAATAAAATTTTGAGCACACTACTAGTTTTAACAATATTGGATGAAAATCACAATGATCTTAGAATAAAAAAAAAATCAATTGGAATTTGCAGATATTCATCACTAACCTTTCTGTCGGTATTGGCAAGGTCGAGCTTGTTTCCGACAACGACTATAGGCACGTCGGCCGTATGCTTAGTGTCAATTATTTGGTCCCTGATGGCTGCCACCTGCTGAAACGATTCAGGATCGGTGACAGAGTACACCAACACAAAGGCATCCGCCGATGATATGGACAGGGCGCGCATTGCCGGAAACTCATACGCCCCAGATGTGTCCAATATGTCTAGGTCGATTTTAACGCCGTCAACCGTAAACTGGCCATGGTGCATTTCCTCGACGGTCCGCTTGTACTTCGATGAGAACTTTCGGTATAGGAACTGAGTGATAAGTGAAGATTTGCCAACTCGGGCAGCTCCCATGACTACAATTTTGTGTCGGGTCACGTCTGAGGGATCCGCCGGGGGCTGCAACTGATCGTTGTGGTGGCCATCCACACTACTAAAAAATAAACAATAAATAAAAATCGGCTGTTATATTTATGGTAATAAAATGATAGCGTTCAACATTATGTGGCGTGTATTGTACATTTATCATGTAAAAGTTTGGCATATTTTATTAGTTTGAATTAGGGTAAAAGAAAAATTGCCGGTTAAGGTAAAGAGATAAAGAGATTTCGATTTTTCTATACCCAATACCTTGGTTGAAATAAAAAGGATGCTCACATCAGACCTGGATTAGGTTAAAAAATATTTATGTCGATTCAATTTCAAAAAAGAATTTCCTGTCGCTGTTGACGTTACATTAAAGTGAAAAATGTTCAAGATGTATTTTATTTGTTTGTTCAATCATTGCAAATATTTTTTAATTCAGTGTGTAACGTTGACTATCAGTTTTAGATATTCATAGAATATTATGTAATAATTCAAATATTAATACGTGGTAATTATTTAACGAAAAAATAATAACAAAATTGGAATAAATCCAATAAACAAAATAAATAAGATAATATAAATTAATATTTCTCTAAAAACTTGAAATTGATATATTGATGAAATATCTAAGCAATAGAAATCTAATATTTATTTAAATTTGCGCAATAGGCTTAATATAAATTTTAATTGACATTTATAATTTTATGCTCGTTTTATGTTATCTATTAAACGAATTGATTATAATAGATTTAATTTACATTTCGCCGTCCAGGACTAATGAAAACTTGTACTGGTTGATTTAAACAAATTTTGTGTAATATTTCATATTTGAATACATACTACTAATTAATTATGTAATCATCTATAATTAACTTGTCTGTTTATTTAAAAATATATTACACTTAAATTATGCTGAAGTAAATATCATGTTAAAATCTTATAAAAAGTTCATTAACAAAAATTATGTACACCCAATTAAAAAAATAAGCATTGCAAGAAGTCTTATCAATTTCATTTTTTGAAAATTATTTACTATTAAAAACTAACTTGTAACTTGTATATTTATTTTTACATAATGTTTTTGACAAGAAATTTTTATTAATAAGGATAAAATTTTTTAAACTCATTTTCTGTAATAAAATTTCACTACGAAAACTAAAATTTTGTGTAAGCGAAAAATTTAAAAAATATTAAATTTAAAATTCCAAGCATACAAAAGGTAGTATTTGTGGTTGTCAAATGATTAGCAAAGTAATTATCTAAGAGTCTCGCTGTGCTGAGTATTAGAATTCTTAAGTGGAAATGTTTTTTAAAAAAGTAGATTTTATTTAAACAAATTTCATCTTCTTTTTAGTATTATTCTTTGCTAAAAAATAAGAAAAACTTGTTTTTTCATAAAATTATTCCAAATGACAAGGACTAATTTATTAAGTTAATGACAGTTTAATTTTTTTTTGCTGGTTTTCTCTATATCCATAAATTGTCCTGTTCTGTATTTATTCTGCAAGTAGTGGAAAACATTCTCCAACATCATCATGTAATAAAAAAAAATTAGTGAATCTCCAGTGAAAAAGAACTGAGTTAATGTAAATTAGCAAAATTATAGTCCTGAATATAGTATATAAAGCTTTCATTTTACCCATATCTTCATTCAGTTTGCATTCGTCGTTTTAAACGGTCTTAACAGAACTCGTATTTTTTTTACACGTTCAAAGTACAACACCAAACAAACCACTAAAAATGTCTTCCAAATTGTTTGTAAGTGCAAAGTGACCAAGATTTAATTTTGCTGAATTTATGGCGAAAGACTTATAATATTAACAAAAATAAATCTTTCTACAGGTATGTTTTGCTATTTTCGCTTTGGCCGCCGTCGCCTTTGCCGCTGAACCAGCACCAGCCAACGACCGTGTAAAGAAAGATGCTTACGCCCCAGCCTACGGTAAGTAAATTTTTATATGCCTAACGACTACAACAATCATTCGCTGTTTCGATAAAAAATAAATCACTTGACTGCACTCGAATCTCGCTATTTTTTTTCTCGTGATAAAAAAAGAATCATAATTACACACGTTTATATTCTATCAAGTGGCCGAGACAATTCTAAAAAATAAGTTTAAATATCAAATAATTTAACTCGGATTTCCTATTACAGCTGCCGGTGCTTACCCATACGCTGGATACGGTTATAACTACGGATACGCCGCTTCCCCATACAACTACGGTTACGCTGGTGCTTCCCCGTACAGCTACGGATACTCTGGTGCATCCCCATACAGCTACGGTGCATACAACTCTTATCCATACGCTGGATACGCCAGATCTGCCTACAGCGGACACTATCCATCCAACTACTACAACAACTACAACGGATACTACCCATACGCTTACTAACTTCGCCATAGACAGACTCCATTTCGATCAGATAAATCCAGTGTTCATTCTAATGAAATACCATAACTCAATGTTGTGTCTTTTTTTTTGTACATTATGTTTAGTTTTCAGTTCTTAAATACAATATAATTTTTTTTTTCGGTACAAAAACTTTTCTTGTTTTTATTTTATTCTATGCCATTTGTGGTTTTGAAGATTTCTATTCTTAGTCATGGTAACACAAAAAAGCTATTTGTTTACATATGAATAGGGTATTTTGGTATTAATTCGATGCGATTATAGTAGTAGAATACACATTTAACAATAGTTTGCATTAAGAACAAAATTTTCACGACGAAGGTTAACAATTAAATAAAATAGTTCAAGGCTATTGAATTAATGCACTTGGTAAAATAAGTATTACACGAAGGAAATTAAAAAAAACACGTTATAAGACACGTTTAAAGAAATTATCATCAAATAAGTCCAGAAACATTAATTATTATAACATATTCGAGAGAAAAAATGAACAAATTTAAATAGCTATTAATAGGCATAAACTCGTACTATATCTGTAGACAAGTAATGTCCTTAAAGGTAAATTGTGTATCAGTTTTTGACAAATAAATGACCAATCTTAATAAAAGAAACAGTTGACACTTATGACAGGCGTACTAGAATTCAATTTTAAATAACAATAAGCTCATCGTTACAGAGACGGAAGTGTGTAAACATAATTTCGGTTTTTGGTTATAATAAAATCATCTTACAAGGTCTAACCTGCGGATAAATGATTTCAATACGGAAAATTTTATATAATTTGCGGTCTCACCGTATTAGCGTAACGTGTATTCATTAGTCATTATTATAGTACAAAACTTAACGTTTATTTCATACTCTATAAACAATAAAATTGACAATTTATGTTCATTAGAACCATTAAATTTACGATATCCTGTTTTGCGCTTTTCTGGGACTCAATGGGTCTTACGGGTAATATATCGGGTTCTTATCTAATGTAACGAATTTATGTGGCTACTCCGGTGTCATTCTCCAAAGCGAATATACGTATATTGTTGTCGTGTTGTACTCTTTTTTTTTTTTTTTTTATACCAATCCAATATTATGCGTCGTGTACAAATAGAGTTCGTAATTTGAATCCTATAAATCGGTGCCTGTATTCATTTAACAGAGTTCGATTTGTTTTTTGTCGTGGGTGGACGCTATGAGGGCAATATTCGATTTCCAACCGCTGCCTGTGTCATATTTATATCGTTCCTGTTTTATTACATCAAATCTATTAATGGACTAATGCGAATTTGAACTTTCGGGGAGTAGGAAGAGGGAAAAGGATCATTTTCTATTCAAAGGACAGTTCAGAACTGTTTGCGGTTATTTTAGTGTACCGACATAGATTTACATAATGAGTTATGAACAAAATCCCGCGCTGTCAATAAAAACCACTATATAGTATGTTGATGTTTTCTGTATTTAAATGCTTTGAGAGAATAATACAAAAAATACTATCAAAATTTGTTTTTTAAAGTACACGGACAAAACATACGCTATTCAATTCATTAAATATTTTAACATGTAGATTTATTTACAAGCATAATAAAACGGTTTCTCTTGAGGATTATAGTTTTACAGGAACTTGCATTTCGATTTTATTAGATTAGACCAGTTTTCAAATTTATTAACATGTGTGAATATATTGTTCACTGTGATATTGAATTATACATTATGAAAAATGCAGTGCTATAAAAAATGTAACAAAATATTATATAGCATACTAAAACAATCTATGTGATATTTCTAAGTATTTGAGGTGTTTAAATTTTCAAATCAAAACCTGACAGCTATAAACAGTTTTACGAGAATATTGAAAAATACTATTAAATAAACAGTAACTTACATCTCTTTGATTTATTTCAAAATTTAACTAGTAAAACCAATAAAAATAACTTTTATTATATATAAGTGTAATTATAGGTCAAAAGTTTATAAAAAGTTCGGATCCACGGACATGACGCACTAATATTTTACTTGAACTATAACTCTTTTTATTTTACTTTTTTATTAAAAATCAGTGGAATGACAAAAGAAAAAGTATTCAAAATTATCACTATTATATAAAATTGTGAAAAGTCACATTTTTAATGATTAAAAAAGATTTATTCATTCCTTGAAAAATTTCTAGATCCGTATCTCTTTTTTGCAAAACATAATTTCTGACAATGTTAATTAATTATTTACTTAATATGAAATTGTTTTTATTGCATTGAATTTTATAAACTAAATATTATTCAATTATTAACGTAGTTTGAATTATATTTTAATTATTAATTAATTTTATGTACATTATATGATTACACGCATTTTATTGAGTGTTTTAATTCCGTTCATCTATCTTATTACTAATTCATTTTTTTTAACTACGCAGCAGATCTGTTACTAAATACTATATTTTCTTGATAAACTCTGTTTCGGGAAAAAAAAAAAATTAAAATGTAAATTACCGATACCCAATAACAGTATATAAAGCCCGAAAATTCTATTATGTGTATCATTCGATTTCAGTCATCGTTTGAAGCTTTTTAGCTGAATTCTTTATACGTTCTCAGCACAAACCAACAAAAATGTCTTCCAAATTGTTCGTAAGTACAATCTTAAGAGACTAAAATACTCTTTTATAACTCCAATGCAACAAACTCAGATAATTAATCAATCCTCAACTGTACAGGTACTTTTCGCTGTGTTTGCCTTGGCTGCCGTCACCTTCGCCGCCGAAGAACAAACTTCAACCAATGAACGTGTAAAGAAGGCCGTTTTACCCGCTGCTTATCCATACGCATACGGTTACAATTACGGATACGTCACCCCATATAGCTACGGATACGCTACCCCATACAGCTACGCTTCATACAACTCTTATCCATATGGACACAGCAGATCAGTGTACAGCGGATACTACCCATACAACTATTACAATGGATATTACCCATATGTCTACTAATTTTTCCATTCAAAGATTCTTTATCAGTCCATCAAATCAAGTGTTCGGTCTTATGAAATAATATGAAACAGTGTAATTCATAATTGTTTTTTTTTGTAAACTTTTTTTTTTATTGTTTCTAAAAAAATAAATTTTTTTAAAGCATTGCAAACGTTTTAGTATAGTTTTTTAAGCATCATTAAAATTTCATTTACACATAAATATTGTAGACTTATTTAGTAGAAGCATTTTTTTTTTATAATGTTTATATAACGGTATTATAACACATAATGTTATAAAAATATTTTATAACATTACTTTTTTAAATTGCTATCTGCTATATATTACTTATTTTATTATAATAAAATAAGTAAAAAAAAAATTCAAAATTAAGGTTCAAAAATTTAAAAAATTACCCTGTTTGAATATAGATAGTTGTATCAGTATTTATTATTATTTTTGGATTAAGTTAGACACCTAGAAGTTAATCTTGCATTATATTTAAAATCATATTCATGTTTAATTTAGCTCATTACAAATATTTCCCCCCAAAGGAAGTCGTCAATATTGTAAAATTTCAAACTTGTATACTTATATAATACATATTAATTAATATCTTAAAAAATGACAATTGAAATTTCAGTAATATTTTTATCTCCGAGTGTTAAAATCAGTAAAACATGTTTTCTATGTGTATCATAGAAGTCAAATATGTTCTATGGATAAAATTTGTATTCGTACAAAAAATATTCTTTTTAAGGATAATTTAAAATTATTCTATATCATTTCAAAATTAGAACAAAAATTAATTCTTGGTAAAATTCATATTTAAGTTACATATTTTAAAATATCTTTAAATATTTAAATTATAAATATATTTTTGTATTATTCTAATTATATTTACATTAACTTAATTTATGTAAACATGTTTACATGATTTATACCATTTGATATACGGTAAAATTTTAGTTGGCTATTTTCGAATTAACGTTTGTTAGTTAAAAACAGTGAAATTCATAGAGATAAGCTTATTACACATCGGTGAAAAACCAATTTTTATTAATAAATTCGGTATGGGATACGTAAAATGGACATATTTGAGTCACTGTCTTACTGAGTGCATTGGCAGTGACTATGCACACTTAAAAAACTAAAACTATATAAAATAACAAAACTAAATTAAAACTAATTTTATTTTCTCTAAAATAATTTATATATGAATACACGTGGACTTTTTATGGACTTATGGACGATTAGCTCTCAATTAATCGTTATCAAAACTTAAATAAATCTACTTAAATAACAACTTATAAATAGTTATTACTTAAGAATTTTTTTTTTGTTTATAGTCGGGAAAATTATTTTTTTATGAATGTTTAGTTAAAAATAAAGGCATCAGATGATAAATATTTTTCATCCCAATTAAAATTCTAAATTAGTAATAAATCTAATCTCAATTAATATTCTTCATTTAATTTTATTATACGACATTTGAACAATTACTTATTTTTTTTTTTAAATCAACAAACGAATTAAAAAAAATTTTAATTTTAAAATAATCAACTTTTTTTAAATTAATATCATTAGAAAACTCGTTCAAAAACATCTAAACACAAAGTTGGAAGTAGAAAATATATACCATTCCTAAACTTATTAGAAAATTCTCATAAATATATACAGAATGGTTTTAATCTGATTCATACCACTTAAAATTTTTGATTCAATAATTATTTTCTTAGACAATGTTCAAAGCATATTTTATGTTATTTATCACTATTTAGAAATATATATATATTTTTTATTTAAATTTCGAAAAGTAATTTTTAGACCATTACTTACAATAAATATTGATAAGCCGATTTTATGGCAAGTACTTATCAAGTTACAGGCATAAACACATAGAATGGGCTTGAACACGGGCGGAGTATCCACTCTATCTATTAAATTGTTTGTAACTCAGTAGGTATTACATTTTAAAAAAATCAAGAAATTACTGAATAATATATATATATATTTTATTATACTTATTTTAGAACATATAATATATTATTATTACTTCAACTGTGTCTGATTTGGTGTTAAGTGTACGTACATATTTTCGCAAAATTATTATTTTTAATTAAAACTCAGCTAGAAATTATACATAATAAATAATATATTTTTATTTTTAATTGTAGGTGGAACAATTCTAAATAATATTCTATCTATACATTTTTTCATGTTAGTTGAAATTATAACAACACTTATGAACAGTGTATCATACAAAAATAAAATACTTTAAAGGTGTTTTTTTTTCTAATTCAAATTTTTTCAAGTGAATTTTTTTTTAACTTGTAACAAAAAAGTGGTGCAGTTGGATATTTTTATGTATTATAATAGGCATAGCACTTACACTATCTGACCATTCTACGTATATTAATGCTTGTAACTGACAATTTTTTTATGGAATATATTTCTTTGCGCACCTTATTTATTATGTAAACATCTTAAATGTTAAGAAGTGAATCAATTAAAGACTCCATGGACCATATTTTCTAGATAATCCACCATATTGAAAAAAACACAAATGTAAATTACTAAATACCAGATTATTGTATAAAAAGCGAGGATTTTTGGTCACAGGTATCATTCGATTTGCAGTCGTCGTCTGTATCTGTTTGAGCAGTATCTGTATTTTTTGCACGTTTAACGTACAACAAAACAACAAAAAAAATGGCTTCCAAAATGTTCGTATGTTTTGCTATCTTCGCCTTGGCTACCATTGCATTTGCCGCTGAATCAGCACCAGCCAACGATCGTGTAAAGAAAAACGTATTGGCCTCCGATTTGGGTAAGTACCGTTGGGTTTATTCTATGACTACAGTAAAGCTAACGCCAATCATGTAGCCAAGAGTTTATTTCGTGGGGGAGGGGCACATTAAACGAAAATTTCGTCGATGCCACGTAATAATAACGAGTTTAATTCCATATTTATAATGACATTTCAAACATTTCGAGGTGTTCAGATCTCACGTACCCCCTGAATATTTTTAACTAATCAACTATTTTTTCTCGTTAAAAATTTAATCGTAACTCATCAACTCAAACAATTAGTTTAAAAAAATGTATAAATTTTATTTTATAGTTGGAGCTCTTCCATACAACTACGGATACGCCGCCCCATACAGCTACGGATACGCTACCCCATACAGCTACGGATACGCTACCCCATACAGCTACGCTTCATACAACTCATACCCCTACGGACACTCCGCTTACAACTACCCAATGGCCAGATCAGTCTACAGCGGATACTACCCTCACAGTTACGGATACTACCCATACGCCTATTAATTTCTTCCTTTAATACTTCCTAAAAATCCGTTAAAATTCAATGTATCTCTTCTCCGTGAATTTCTATAATTTATTTTTATTCTTGTCAATTAATTTGTACAATTTTTTTACTTTGCACATAAAATAAAATAAATTTTTATCGCTTAATTTTTTTATTTTTTTATTAGTGAAAGTAATCTGGTTAGATTTATTAAAACTGAATTAAGCAGAGAACATTTTATGAAGTTTTGTCTGAGTGATACATTTTTTTGATCATTTGAAAAATTAACTCATGAAAAGTATGATAAAAAAAAAGTTTACAAATATGTTATATGGATTTTGTTCAGTAATTAACCCTTAAACAGTTGCGTGGGTGTCTAGCATACCTCCACATAAATAAAAGCGGATGTATTATATTGCATAAAAGGTGTACATAGATATAAATTTAGAAAATGGTTTTTATAGTAATATTGAATCAATTTTCACAAATAAATACCCTTGAAAAAAATGTATGACTTAAAATATCCATCAAAATTGAAATGGGTCATATTGACCCCCACGCGACTTGTAACGTCATAATTTTTTTTTGGACTTTTATTTTTTTCAAAATATTGTTTTATCGTAAATGCAATGTTCTAATCGATATAATATTGTGGAATTGGAATTATGTGAATCTGCCACCGACTGTGCAATTAAGTTTTAAAAATAAATAATCTATTTAGAATTTCCACTATTCGATGATACGGACACAAAACATGTAATAAATACATCGCGTCGCAATGTGGACACATTGATTATCGGTAATCGATGTGCTAATACGAACGAATAAGTGTATATACTCGTATCATAATAATTAAATGTATTCTAATATTAATAATAAAGAAATTCAATTCAGAAAAATTATTATGTAATTGTAAATACACATAAAACTAATAAATATAAGCCGTGTTTGAGTTCAAAGAAATACAAGAAAAATTAATTAAAATACATTTTGTATTAGTAAAAGCTTTTGTTTACCGTCTTAAAAATAAGATTTTGCAGTTAAAATAATTTTTTTACAAACCAACATTTTTTAATGAAACTTTGAAAGTTAAGTTTTTTATTTTTTTTCGTAATATAATTTTTAGTAATGCACATAATTTTGTAATTAATTAATTTTTTAAATTTCATCCATATTTGTATATCATATGGGGTAATAAATAATGTCTTTGAATTAAAAAAAATGAACTTTTTTATACATATTTTATACTTTTTTAGAAATGGGGTTTGATAGACCCCCACGCGACTATGAACGTTAAAAATAGGCATGCGCCTGCCTAAAGGGTTATATTTAAAAAATATTCAATTTATTTTCTTGAGATAAGTCATATTAATAATATTTATGTTTTAGTAGGGGCATATTTATTTAGTATAAATGTTACTTTTAGAAGGTTTTGAACAAAAAATAAATAAAGTCATCAAAATAATATTTGTTGTAAAATTAAGAAAAAAAAAATTAAAGATGTGCCTGCGTTATAGTATATAAATTTATCTAAAATTATCGTTATTATTAAGTTTTCTATGAATTTATTATGTAAATAAAAAAAATTATAATGACCTTCAATTTGAATTGATGTTTAGATTTTAAATATACATTGGTAAAAGTACTGGAACAATTGCTTTGAGTGCTATTGATAGATAATACCAATAAAACATAAGTATGCACTTTAAATTAAAAACCTGTTGTGTTATTAATATTAAAATTATAATCAGCGAAGGTTAAATATTTATTTATACATAATTAGTATAACAAGAGGATCACGAACTGTTTAAGTTATTATAATAATTAGTTCAAGAAATGATTGAACAATCTATCTAAGAAATAGCAAATATTTTATCGAAATTAAATAAGATAAATTAGGGAAAATAAGTTTTTTTTATAATATGCTAATCATAATAAACCAATGAAAAACTTGAACAGAGGAAAGATTTGAAAGAGACCGCATATAAACAATTTTTTTCAACTCAATTTTTGAAAATGTTCCCTATTATGTATTCCCTATTTTAACCTTATTAAAATTAAAGTTCTTGAATTGTAGTACAATATTAAAAAAAAACTTCTAATGATTGTTGCACAAAATGGAAATATACAAATTAATGTGAAACTTAACAGATTTATACTTGTCTTAACTATGCCGTAAGCTCACTGAGATGTTTTTTTTTACATTTTATGTAAAAAATTATATTTTTAAAAATATACTACATAATATTTATAACATTAAATGTTAAAGTATAAGGCTATAGCTAGTGGTACACTTAGGTTAAGTACTTCTTCATCCCCCGATGCTCAAAATCCTCTTATTTCACTAGACAAAATAAAAATAAATAGATAGATATTTTCTGAGTTTAACGTAACACACAATTTTTAATTAAATAAGTATAAATATTATATAATATTATGTAATATTTATACTTATTAAACAAATATATTACTTATAAATATATTTTTTAAATTAACTGTTCATGATAATGTTATACATAGTTTAATAATAATATCAATTACCCAAAGGATGTCTTTACAGTGAACATAGGAGAAATTAGATCTCTACAAAATAAAATTTTGTGTTGCTCTTCGAATTTTTTTTAGTGAAGATTTCTAATGAAACTAAGATATCTCAGTCCTCTAGTAGGGTAGGGATATCGAGCAAGATAAATTTAGTTAGCCACTACTTAAATTAACTATAACATTTTTTATAAAAAAGAATTTATCATTTTATATGTTCATTTTTATCTTAACTCGTATAAAATTCTTTCGTTGTAGTTATTAAATAATTTAACGATTATAATCATTAATTATTAATGATTTTGGAAAATTATAATCATGGAACCCTGTCTGGTCTGGTTATGTGCTCACTCTTTTATAAGCGTCTTAAATATTTGGTCAGGCCATAGTTTCGTCTATGATAATAAATATTACTAAATTAAAAATTTACATAGCGGAACTTTGTTCCATTTCAATAAAAATCATGGAAAAATGTGAAATTAATATTTTGTAATCAAATTTTATCTAGTTGCAAATAATTGATAATAAACTTNATGTGAAATTAATATTTTGTAATCAAATTTTATCTAGTTGCAAATAATTGATAATAAACTTAAAACATTTTTAGCTGAGAAGATATTAATTTTAATAAAATGTGTTTCTTTTTTTGTGACTGTTACCACTTATTCTTAGCTCTCACTAGACTGATTTTAATGAACAATACGTCAAAATATCACAAATTGTATCTAGTCAAAGACATTACTTTCAAAATCCAAAAAATGTTCTTTGTTTCTCGTAAGTGGGGCAAATTCTTAAAAAAATTCCAATTTTAAAAATCGGTAATTTTTGACATTCTTAAAACTTTTTTTAATTAGTACTGTCTACTAAAACGATAAATAAAAACAATTTTTTTTTATAGATATCTTAGGTAATTACCTATCATGTGGTATATATTTTATGAAAATTTGACCCTTTACCTTTCTAAAGGAGTACATTCAAAATGGTAACTTTCTCGACTTAACTTTAGAACATTTCCCGGAAATACTGACACTTTTCTATTTCCTAAATTAACCCTTATGCAATATGCTATACAGGATGGCCCAGCATTCATTGGCAACTTAAATAACTTTTTCAGTTATTTTTTTTTTTTTAATAGTCAATATACTTGAGGGATATAATAATAATTTAATTAATATATATTTTATAATTAAATTTTAAAAAATTTACGAAAAATATCAAAATAGCTATTTTTTAGAATAGCTTTTAAAAAATAATTTGATGAAAAAAATTTTCATTAATGTTTGGTAGTTAATTTTCTGTAATATTTTAAATTTCGTAAAAACTTGAATTTTTCTATATTTATTTTACGGTATCTCTCGATGGTTATGTTATACAATAAACAGCAGTGTAAACACCATTATTTCACACTAAATATGATATAAGTATGGATTTTTACATTAAATTTATTAACATTCCAATGACTGGTTTTAGTTCAAATANTATGGATTTTTACATTAAATTTATTAACATTCCAATGACTGGTTTTAGTTCAAATAAAACATCAATAATACCTATTATTTAATAAGTAGTTTTATCTCTAAAGAGATACTTATCTTACTTTTTTTCATTCCTTGTTTCAACATGTATTTCAATATTTAATACCGTAAAATGACACATGAAAATTCAAATTTTCACAAACTTTAAAATGATAGAAACTATTTACTATTGAATATTAATAAGATATTTTTTACCAAAAAACTTGTTAAAATCTACTCGAAAAAATAGCTTTCTGGTAATTTTTTTACATTTTGTTTAAAACTAAAAAATAATTAAAATTTTTAATAAAATGTAAAAAATAAATAAATTATTGAGACCTAACGTATAACTGTTATTTAAAAAAAAAATCAGTAAAAAATATTAACTAGATCAAAAGTTATTTAAGTCAGTGAATGCTGGGCTACCCTAAACAAAAATATGATATTTTTGTGATAAATTTCTCGATTTTATAATATTATAACAATTTTTTTATTATAAATACTTTATAAATGCTCCTTTTGTCTGACAAAAGTTTTATAAATTCGATCATTTCCCATTATGTTTGAGGGAGTATAAAATATGTAACTTTAAACAACATATTGTCGTTTTCAATTTTATTCTATTATATACGTTAGATATGAAAAAAATTATATCATTAAAGAACAAATAACATTACTATGTAAAAAAAATTGTTTTGATATATAAATTATGTTTGCTTGAGACGTATACGAGGTAAGAATTTCAAGAAATAAGATAAACATTTAAAATAATAAAAAACATTAAAATTACATACTCTTCAGTGCAGTTTTAACATAACTGTCATATTAAATTTCGATTTAACTATTGAACTTTTTTTCTTTCATATTTTATATTCTTCATAAAAAAACTAAAAGGATTAATTTTCTCCAAATGTATTGAATAAATTAGTAACAAGCGAGGTACAATTTTTTCCAACTCGTTACAGTAATCCTGTTTTATTTGCAAGGTATTTTTTATCATGATATAGAGATCAGCCCACAACATTCCACACGCTGTTTCACATCGGAAAAAAATTGAAAATGTAAATTACTCAATACCGGACTATAGTATATAAAGCGCGATTTTTCAACCATCTGTATCATTCGATTTGCAGTCATCGTTTGAAGCGTTTTAGCTGAATTCTTTATACGTTCAAAGTACAACCCAAACAAACCAACAAAAATGTCTTCCAAATTGTTCGTAAGTACAATCTTAAGAGACTAAAATACTCTTTTATAACTCCAATGCAACAAACTCAGATAATTAATCAATCCTCAACTGTACAGGTACTTTTCGCTGTGTTTGCCTTGGCTGCCGTCACCTTCGCCGCCGAAGAACAAACTTCAACCAATGAACGTGTAAAGAAGGCCGTTTTACCCGCTGCTTATCCATACGCATACGGTTACAATTACGGATACGCCTCCCCATACAGCTACGGGTACGCTACCCCATACAGCTACGCTTCATACAACTCTTACCCATACGGACACTCCGCTTACAACTACCCAATGGCCAAATCAGTCTACAGCGGATACTACCCTCACAACTACGGATACTACCCCCACAGCTACGGATACTACCCATACGCCTACTAATATCGTCTTCATGTGATACTTTTTCAACTCATCTAATGTAACTTGCAGCTCAATGAAATTATCAGTGTTATTCCTATTTTTTTTTTATTTATATATTTTACATATAAAATAAACAGATTTTTTAAGCATTAAAAATGCATTATTTTGTTTTTTAAGTTTATGTCTCTTTTAGGTGTTGTTTTTTTTTCAGGTTATGAGATAATTTAAATATTATTATTAAAAATAATATTTATATTTTAGATATGTTTTATACCTGGTAAAATTCTTATCTAGATATTAAGTTGAAAATCTTGAAATTTTTAAAGTGACCGTTAAAGAAAATTAAAACTCTGTTTTAACAAGAAAAAAATATTACTATACCACTAGTTATATTTTTGTAATGATAACAATAATAATCTTGATATGCAATTATATGCAATGTTTTACCGATCCGGGCATCCTTCAGTGATCCGCATTTTTGTAATACATTGAAATAGGGTGTCTTATAAAGTTCTAACAAATATGTTGATTAAAATGGTATGACTCTACAAAGCTCAATATTTTGAGTTACAATTGTTTATTAATTTAGGTATAAAGATTATTTAAGTACCACTGACGAATATTGGACAAGTGCACCAACTGTAGGATCTTGGCTTAATATTATAATAATGCTACTAAGAATAATAAAATATCAGCTTAATATACGACTCACATAATTTATAAAACAGTAGGTACAGTTTATTTATAGATATTCAAAAACCTCTTAGGTTTGGTAGGTAACTATTTAAGTCGATTGGTAGGTAATTTTTAACCACATAACAATTATTGTTATCCATTTATTATGTGTACATTATTTTCGTTTACCTCGCCCGTTGTGTTATTAATATTAGGGTGTTAATGTTGAGTTTATAAATTAAATAATTAAAAATTCATAAGTCATTCTAAAAAAAAGTGTGTAAAAGAGGGAACTTTTTAAAAAAGCTAGCTTAATATCTTGATAACTTGGTATTTGGATCCATTTCTATCATTTTTATCATTGAACAGTGTTCAATAAATACTTTGAAAAGACAGCGACAAATTTTAGGGGGCGCAAAAGAATACTTTTGTGCCTCAATAATTGCTATTTAAAAACTAATAAAATATGGTGTTTCTTTTACAGAGTTTGTTGTAAGAAAAAAAGATAACTATAAAATAACTCTGTAATTGGTCTAGAACAAATTTATCAGGTACTCCCTATTCTGAATACTATGCGAAAAATATTATATTTGTTTCATTTAAAATCAATATTAAAATTATTTAAATATAATTTAAATTTTAAGTTGTATAATATTGGTTAGTCTACAATAAAACTAGATTTCATAATAAAAAAAAAACCCAACACAGGTGGGTCGCGGCACAGTGGTGACATGGCATAGTTGGATCAAGTATAATGATATCTGACAGTGATTAAAATCACTATAAAAAAAAAACGCTTCGATGCAAATCTTTAGATAGTGTTTAATTAAAAAAAATTAGTGTATTATTCCAAAAGCTACATGATCTGCTAGTTCTTTATTAATATCCTGATTAAGATAAAGTATGTCGAATGAAAAAGGGATTATTAAAAAATATTATTTCTCATAAAAAATTGTATTGATCCATACACTTTTCAATAAGTTATAGCATTATAAAGTTAAAAATGTAAAAAAAAAATTATTTTACAAAAATCGTAATTTTTTATTAACTTTGATGTCTATTTTTACCGTGAAGACAATTGCAGAGGTCAAATTAATTTTTTTCATAATAAAGTACATTAAATTAGCTTTAATTTAAGATATATATAAAAGTGTCAGACCTTCCGGTCTTCAATTATATTGATTTATTCATTTTCATAAAAGTTATGGCAGTTTTAAGAAAAAAAAATTGAAAAAATTTCGAAAATTAGCGATTTTTAAATTTGTAATATTTTTGGATATTTCCCCCATTTGCGGAAAATGAAGGAAATATTTTCAATTTTTGAGGATAATGTCTTCGACTAGATACGATTTGTGATCTTTTGACATATCGTTGAAAGAAATCCGTTCGGTGAGAGCTGAGAAAATGTGGTAACAGACAAAAAAAAAACACATCATAGTAAAATCAATACCTTCTCAGCTTTGCATCGAAGCTAAAATTCAAATTTTGTAAAAGTAGATATTTTTATTTTTATACTTTTTGTTAAGTAATATGTATTTAAAATATATTAGTATGTTTAAAAATTGAAAATGCTGGTAATTTTCTTTTTATGAGTAACTTTCTAGTAAGGCTAAAAATAGCCTTACATAATTTGTATTATATGATATTGTTTATGCGAAAATCGGACTAAATTATTTGCGAAAGTAAAGTGGAAATTTTGTGGCACTCCATATAAAATTTCAATGTATGGCTATCAACTTTTAAGTATCGTCGGCGTACAATTCAAATCTGCTTCCAAACTTATGATACCCGTTAGATTAAAAGTTTTAATCTAACCTTTGTAATTTAAAACGTTGATGATACATTTTAATCATATCAAAACAAATATTTCAACACTATTTTACTTGATAAATTTTTAACTAAAGTTGAATTTATATATTTTACTCTAACGAAATTAAGTAAACTGTACTTTATACATAAATAAGCGAAGAATAAAACTCGCAGTTCTACTCTTATTAAAAAACAAGAAAAGAGTGTGACATTACCAGACTAGTATCACATAATTGAAGTATAGAGACCAACACCATTATAATGTATTTATGTCGTATTTCATATTTGTTGCATGAATACATTTTAATCCAGAATAGTGAATCTATTACTATATACCATCTCTTTGTATTATTTAACAACAGTAAATAAACAAAAATGCAAATTTGTTAACATCAAATATTGGTATATAACGGGTAATATTTTGGTGAGAGATATCATTCGATTTTCAATCGTCGTTCAAAACGGTTAAAGCAGTATCCGTACTTTTTGCACGTTTAACGTACAACTCAAAAAAACCAACAAAAATGTCTTCCAAATTGTTTGTATGTTTCGCTATCTTCGCCTTGGCTGCCGTCGCCTTCGCTGCTGAACCAGCGCCAGCCAACAACCGTGCGAAAAAACACATCATCGCTTCATCCTTAAGTATGTGTATTAATCATTTAAATTTTATAATTCAAATTTTTTTAATTTTCTAATATTTCCAATTACGTATTCTTCTATTACAGTTGGTGCTTACCCACACTCGTACGGTTATAACTACGGATACGCCACTCCATACAACTACGGATACGCCACTCCATACAGCTACGGATACGCCACTCCATACAGCTACGGATACGCCACTCCATACAGCTACGCTTCATTCAACTCATACCCTTACGGACACTCCGCTTACAATCACGGCTACGGATACGTTTACTAAATTCGCCATTCAAAGTTTCCTCCCCAATCGATCAAATCCAATGGACAAACCGATAAAATGACACAATCCTATGTAATTTAATATTTTATTTTTTTGTTTTTACCGTTGTTTTCTCTACGTTGAGTAAAATATAAAGTTTATCACAATAAAAACTGACTTTTCAGTAACAACCTTGTCCTGATGATATTTTTATTGAACTGTTATTTGATATGTTCAAATTTGATGATCGACATAATATTTAAAAAAAATCAAATTGTTATACCGATAAAACATTTTAGAGGTAATGGATACAAATAAGCTTTAATATTATTGAATTTGGTGGTATTCTTTTTTGTACCAAAAATAATTAAGGCATTGGTGTAATAACCAGATATTCGTTTTTTTTTAATTTTCATGGGTATTAAGAGCATATTTACTTTTTATCAAAACGAAAAAAATAAGCAGAGTTCTTTTTTGTTACCGCTGTTTGGAATCCTGTATAAGAGTTAATTTTCAAAAACTATGATTATATATGGTTATTACATTGATTGGGTTGGATTTTCCATTTAACTTTTCTCATTAACCCTAAACTTTATTTTTTAGAAGACATTATAAATAGTTGAAGATTAACCATTAATGAGTTCTTATTTTCAATCGTATAATATTAACAATTACTATAGTAATTATTGATAACATTTTTATTCTTAGTAATTAAAACTTTAAATATATTCAACTAAGAAATAATTAAATTCCATTTTTCATCATGTAATTCTCAATAAAATAAATATGATTTGTGAGTCCATTTTTCTCTTAGATACTTACTCTAAAAATTAAATCGTAAATAATTTAAATGATATTATTAAGCATAATAAAATAATCGTTATAATACATTTTAGTGGCATTATTTTTAATATACTAAGTCTACCAATTAGTATTTTTGTTGGTTTTTAAATACTTTTCGGTTTATTAGTCACAGCAAGTAAAGTTTATTAGGGTAGAAAAGTTTATGATTATATGTGTACATTTTTAGCAATATTTGAATCTCAAACGACTCTAGTAGATATTTAGATAACCTAGCTTATTATATTATTACTTTAATACTGAGTTAATACTCATATAATGTATTGTACACTTAGTTCAAACATTAATCTGTGAGTATTATTTTTTTTTTTATAATGTATAATATGTATGGAACACAAACATTATTTGGGAGTTATAGGTATTTTTATGTTATATATATAATATTTTTAAAGTATTTATTAAAATTATAATTGTAATTATTATTTTTTTGATATTTTACAGAAACATTATTTATATTATAAAACTTATATTTGTGTATTTAATTTATCTTTGATTTATTATGATAATACAAATAATGAATATTAATAATTACTTTTTGTGAATTGTTATGTTCTCAACCAAAAATGTATACTTTCATCATGTATAGACTTTCAAATTATTTTGTTTAATCAATAGACATCAAAAAAATTGTAAAATAAAAAATAAATAATAACCGTTGATCATTGCATTTTTTATGTATCTAACCAATGTTAATTTTCCTAAAATTTAGTATTTTTTGTATTATGGAATTTTGAATTTACAAATTTACATATATATAATTTATATATAGATACATTTTGTTTAACCTCAAGTATTATTTATCCCTTGGATGATTTTCTTTACAACAAAACAAGGGTCAAGAATTATTAAAGAGCTTTTTTAAAACATCTGAAATTTTATTTTTAATAGAGTATAAATATTAGTAGAATATTATTCTACTATAAAATGTGCATATTACTTTTTCAAAATATACAGATTTTTCAGTACATTTAATAATTGTTGAACGAGTGTAAATCTATGGCTCTATATACATACACACATACTATGCACAATTTATAAGAAAATATATTATTATTCCAACTACCATGCCATGTTTCCCTGAGGCGACTGTAAAACTGTTACTCATTCCATTTTCGTTAAAATAACTACAAGACACATTCAGAATCCACTTTAATCTCGACAAATTCGATTAACGTCGAGCAAAAAATTTATGTTAGAAATTTAGTTACTTAAACTTTTAAAATTATAATAACAATAACAAAAGAAATCAAATAAATTTTTATTTTTTCAACTACATTGTGCATAATTGCATTTGATCTACTCGTCAAAGAAAAATGAAAATAGAAAAAAAATTACTTCAATTATATATTAATCTAAAAAGTTCAAGAAATGTAATCATTTGTAGTATGTAAATATAATACATTTTTAATTAAGTAAACATATTATGTTGTTACAGTATTTCGTTAAGTACACGGGCGTTTTTTCTGTTTTAATAATTTCATTGTTAGTCGGCCGAACAAGGTATTTTTCGAATTCGTCTTTGAAACCAAAAAACTACGTACTTCTGTGTATATATCGTACCGACCAAGTATTATGGTTTGATATCAAATATCTATTGTTGTTATTTTGACCGTCGAATCATTCCACCGGAAAGTGTTCTGTCACTCACCGCCATTTGTCCCTGGCAATTTGCATATTATTATTATTATTATATCTGACAGAAGCGCACTGTTGTCAAAACAAATATTAAAACATTTTATTCGGACGAAAAAACGCCCGTGACATCGTCTTGTACTGTCATAATTAGAATACATTTCTGGCGTATAATATTAATTTGTAGGCCGTCTCGTGTAAACTATTAATGGCGCATACTTGGTTTTTTATTGTAATTATTATGTCAGTGTAGCAGATGCACACACCGTGTCGGCGGGGTCCTCTACGTGATCAAGTTGGCAATCAGTGACCGTGTCCGGGCATTTGCAAAAATGAAACACTTAAACCCTATGCGCATAAAGTGCACAGGCCATTATGAAATACTTTTAAATTGAAATACTTTCCTATAAAATAATGAACGNNACTTTCCAAGCCGTAAGAACTCTGTGCTTAGGTACACAACAATGTTTGCCGCACTGCCGTTCTTGCAGTGCGTTTTACTCGTCATTTCGATGCCATGTTTTTGTGTATGTGCGCGAGAGATGCCTTCTAACCACCGCACACACTGTAATGGACCGTGTTGCGCTTGTACTAATGCCCACGTCCGGCAACGCCTAATGGACTTTGGTACTTTTTTCATTATGCGCTAGCCTTCCTCGGTCGCCACCACTCAAGGCCGTTCGTCGCACCGCCTAGATCTGCTCTGTTTTTTTTTGGTTTTTGTTGTTGTCATATGATCCAGATCTTGGCCTTTTGCGGGCCAGCCAACGCCCTTGTGTTCCCTCCGCGTTTCATTGTCATGCGACAACACAATGCAACCACCGCGGACAGATTGATGTACCAGGGGGGCCATCGCACGCGGTTTCTTCAGATGGTAGGGGGCTCTTGGGATTCGCCAAGTCCGTTTTGCGTATAAAAACACCTAGCCGTACCAGCATCAGTATCAGTTCGATTTCGTGTTAAGTTTGCAGACTATCTCAGTGAACCGCAACACCAAACAAATCCAAGTAGTCATGGCTTCCTTCAAATATCTGGTGAGTTTTAGTCGTTAGTGGTTACCATTAATTTGTTAACAAAGTCAGTTTTAGTTTTAAAATATCCTCAACATTTCAATGACTAGAATATCGGCTGTAATTTTGTCGATGAACACAAATTAGTGATTATTTTTTTAACCGCGTATTTGAATATTTCATGTTATTAACGGGATTGTTCGAGTAGTTTGTATAAAATATTTGTTGAGTATAATAATTCATGAGCATGTATTATTTTATGATAAAAAGGCGTGTCAACAATAGTTGTTCATCAACCATTCTGTTTCCGTTTTAATATTTCTGGATTATTTTATAAAAAAAATCATAATCGATTATATTTTGTTAACTCAAAAGATTACATTCAACAAACAAAACTAATGACTTGCTCGCGTTTTTTAGATATTCATCTCATTGGCTGTCCTCAGCGTTTACTCAGTCGGCGCCGAACAAGAAAACAAACCAGCACAAGTACAAGCTGACGGAGAGAACGTCAGGGCCAAGAAACACGCTTACGTTGCAGCCCGTAAGTCCACGTCAAAATTACAACCATAGTTTATTTTCACCGTTTTTTTTTTCATTAATTGAATAATTTTTTATCGCTATGTTTACAGCTGTCCTCGCCTACTCTGCCGCCGCTGCCTACCCATACTCTGCCTATCCAGCTGCTTACCCATACGCCGCATACCCAGCCGCCTATCCATCAGCATACAGTACCTACTCAGCTTATCCAAGCTACTCTTACGCCTACGACGATGGAAAATACTGGCCAGGCAAATACGAAAAATCTTATTACCCAGCCTACAAAACCGCTTATCCATATCACGCCTATCACTATTAAACACAAACCTTGGACACCTCAATGACAACGCTGAAACATTCCTAATATTTGTATTTTTTTTTCTTTTTTATTATTATAAGAACATTAATTTCTTTTTTTAAATAAAAAATCCTTTTTCTATCATCTAGGTATTAAATTATTTACTCTCTATTCGCCTCTTATATTGTAATTCGGTGGAACGTTTTATAACGCAGATTTTTATTATTCTAAAATTCATTGAAGATTTTATCACATTGTAATTGTCGTATGAAACGTGTAAAGGTTAGATTAAAATATAAAACAAAAATACCTCCAAACTTGGAGCGGTAGTTAAAGTTGGGTCGATTATATATTTTACAGATTTCATCATTTAATTTTTGTGTACTTATATAATGTGTTTACCAACAATACTTGTAAATATTTCACTAGAACTATAGATTGATAACACTAAAATGATAAAATAACTATCTCCAGTTTTATCACCATAGACTGCAGTTATTTATTGTTTTTAAATTATCCGGTTATAAAATGCTTGGCATTTATTCATTCTGTAGTTTTTTTTATAAAATTTGGTAAGTCAATTTTTCAGGATGAAAAACGTTCTTTTTTTAATTTCCATGAACATTATTGAAAATAAAAATTTCCGAGTGCAAAAACAAACTTTTCCAATAAAATTAACTCGGTAATTTTTAAATTATGACAGCACTTTTGTCATACCATATAATAAATAATTTTCTTTTTGTCACTCAACATATTTTGCAAAATGCTACAGAATTTAAAAAAAATGAAATTATTGATACCATTAATTTTAATAAGAAAATATATTTTGTTTTATATTATATATAATATAATTATATAAATATAATTTTATTACTTATGTTTAATATATTTATCAATTTGCTGTCATTCATTAATATAAAAAATTATTTAGGAATGGGTCGCATAAGTTAGATATGATTATAAATGTAACATTATGATATTTGTGTGTTTGCATTGAAATAGAATAAATAGTAGAACGAATAAATTGTACCCAAATGCATAATATATACCAGCAAAAAAAAAAAAAAAAATCATGAATTAGTCATGAATGAGCTGCTTTATTCGAACATGGTATAATACATTTTTGGAAATACTGTATGAAAAAAAATTTCTTTCAAATTATACTTGATAATCAAGTAAACGTATCTGATTCTGATTATAAAATGAATTTTAATGCTGTCAAGTAAAACTTTATCGAAACTTTTCACTTTTCAGAGAATTTCATACCGAAGTTGACAAAATAATTTTTATGAAGTGCCCAGTATTTATTCTTACGAATAAAACAATATACAAAAAGACCATAACCTCTAACTAAAACGAAGAATCTATGTTAAAATAAAAAAACGAGTGGCAGTGACAAGGAAACTAGGTTACCAAATTAGCATTTTTATTGCACAACTAAAATAAAATATCTAGGTTATAAACATCAACTAATTATATCAACATATCAATTATAATTTTGGATGGTTTTATAGAAAACAGAGACATCACATCAGATTTTACTGCAATGGGATAAACTTTTGTACAGCTATTATTTTACAAGTGCTTCGCTTGAGGTTGTTCATTCACTAACAACTCAGAGTTATTATATTTAATGTAAAAATTACTACAACAGAACTTTTTCTAAAATCATTAGGACGATAATAAATAAATAACTTAGAAATAAGGAATTTATTTAAATAAAAAATTAAGAATAAAGAAAATAATATGCAGTGCATATTTAGTTTAAATAGCAACATAGACAATTAATTAGCTTATAAAATAGAAAATTATATAATTAAGAAAATAGCTAGTAAATAGTCATTTTTGATTCAATACTTCACAAGTTATTAAAATTTTTATAACTAGGCAGAAGGATGTGACTGAGAAATGTCTAATTGTAAAAAACCCAGCGCCCTCCCATCACTTCCAGTCAACATTTAAAATTGTTAATAACTTCTTAAAAAAATTGTTCATAAGTTACTATTCACCACTCATTTTCTTAATTATATCATGTTCTATTTTATAAGCTAGTTAAATATATATTTTGCTATAAAAAAAAAAATAATAAAAAATTGATAAGACATAATAAATAAACATAAAAAAATATTTAATAATAAATAAATTGAGAAAATTATGTCACTAAAAAATATTTTCTTAACATAATTGAAGGGTACAGGGAAAAAACCGACTAAGTCACTTTTTTTCACAAATGAATATTATGGTATCATTAGTTTCAGCTAGAGACACTGCACATTCTGACAGGTCGAAACAGGAAAATAATCAACTATATTAATAGATATTAGCGCTCAAAGTTTTGGTGTACAGGGAAAAAACCGACGAAGTCACGTCGTCCAGTGTACTAACTGCTTAATTCAACATTTTGAGTGTAGATTTCAGTACGATTTTAGAGGTAATTAGAGAAAAGGCAAGTGTTATTAATCTGTTGTTATTGCGGCGTGACCGGCGTTTTTCATAACGTGTTTAACTACAGTTGTTGTATTAATATAGCGTTGTACATAACGGCTTCAAGTTTTTGAATTATATTTGGTAGTTCTTGTCATACAAGCGCATTATGTCTGAAATAAGTGAGTCAGAGGGCAATGTAGTTCTTAAAACTCAAGCACGAAAAAAGAAAAGGACTGGTCGCTTATCAGAAGTAAGTAAAAAAATAAAATTATCGTCACATGAAATGGGAGGTTCTTGCAAATGCACTCGATTGAAATGCTTTGAAACAACATCAGAGGAAGAAAGGAAAATGATACTGCGCCATTTTAACTCACTTAGCTCACATAATGATCAGAATAATTATTTGGCGGGTTTGATTGTAACGCACCCAGTGCAAAAACGCAGGCCTCGACTAAATGAAAGCAGTGCCACAACACGTGATGCTTCTTTTTCGTACAGGGTACGAATCCAGGGTGAAAATTCTGTCCAGAGAGACATACCTGTCTGTGAAAAAGCATTTCGTGCAATTCATGGTATAACACACAGTAAACTTGTTTATATAAAGAACAGTCTAAAGTTATATGGAGTTGCTCCTCAGGATAAGAGAGGTAAACACAGCGCACTTCATAGAAAACTAGCTGATTCGACCACTTCTTTAATTTACAATCATATTTCAAGTTTTAAAGGAAGAAAAAGTCATTATAGTTTGCACGATTCAAAAAAACTATACTTACCAGAAGATCTTAATATAAAAAAAATGTTTACACTCTTCAAAGAACAGCATCCTAATGTACATGTTTCTTACGAAACATACAGATGTATGTTCAACACAAAATTCAATATCTCTTTTGGCTATCCTCGTAGTGATACCTGTGCTATGTGTGATGAATTTAGTGCAAAAATAAAATCTCTATCTCCAGACAAAGACAAGGAAGAAATTAAAAAATTAACGACACTCAATGTTCTTCACAAGAAAAAAGCAGAGAAATTTTATGTTCGAAAAAGGAAAGCAAGACTTGCAGCAAGAAATGACAAGAAAATAGAGGCCATATGCATGGACTTTNTTTTAAGAGGAATCGAGTGGCTAGCGTTAAAATAATCATGTTGTATATAATTTTTTATGTGTATTAAACATTTAAATTAATTGAACAAGAAATTTCAATAAAAATTCTATTAACTGTGGCTGTAAAGATCAGAACCAAAGGCTTTCCTTTTGTATTTCAAATAATTAAATATGAAAAATTCAGTGTCTCTTTCATTGTATAAAAACTCATTTCAATTACATTTCTTTGATTATGATACATTAGCTTTTAATGAGAAATGGACTTGTTTAAAATTTGGCTCTCCAATTAGAGTGCGATCTGACTGGTTCCAGTTTTGATAAAAAATTTAATTGTGTCAAATGCCATGTTGCTACCCCCCAAATGACGCCTTACTAGAAAAATTATTTTTTAATAATCTTAAAAGTTGTTGTCATTTTCATATTGCTATTGTTTTGATTGTATTTGATTATATATATATTTTTAATTTATCAGAGAACATTAAAATTTTGACGTTTCTGTTAATTATGTGTTTTATTGATTTATAAATTACTCCGCACTTTATCGTTTCATGATTTTTACATTGCTGAGTATCAACTAATACTTTTAATAAGTTATAAATTATAACTTATAATTGACCAGTAATGTTTTTAATTAGATTATGTTCTACTCTATTAGTTAATTAAATATAAATGTTGACATTAAAAAAAATAATTAATACCTTAAGAATACTCAAGGGATTTTAGAGGACTTAATTAAAAACAAACCAAGAATGTTATATAACTTTTAAATGTAAAAAAATATTTGAAATATATTTTTTTCATTGCGATAAATTATATGGTTGTGTTCATGATAAACATAACATAACATATGTATAAAATATAGAAGGTGTTATGTTATGTGTATACATGCAAATCATGCATATACACAGAGTAATTTGAAATGTTAGATGTGTGACACAATTAATTGCAATATTTTAATAATTATTGATTATTCAAATTTCATAAATTAAAAATGATTTCAATTAGAACATTAAGCGTGTAACAATTATCATAAGAGTATTATTATCTAAATAAGCCATTTGTAATTAAAAAAAAAAGTATCATGTTAATAAAACACTAATGCGTTTTAGTAAAAATAACTTCTTTTGAAATGAATACCGCGAAATTTGCCATGCAAACGAATAAATAAATGTAAAACATTTTAATAAAAATTGAAAAAATTGTTTTCTCCATATTGAGATGACTGTGACAAAGTACGGTTTTCTAAACCGTAATAATTCAATTGTTTTTCCAATTAAAACGATAATATTTTAACCATTGAAATTCCATTGACAGGTAATGTCGTTTTAAGCTCATCATTTTATTTATTTATTGAATTATTTTATTATAAGATTATTAAAATTTCAATAAATTACGATTATCTTTAGTACAATAGAAGAATCGTTCTTCGTGGGCTACTGAATAAAACTAATGGTCACGGATAACTAGGTTCCTTGTCTTTTAAAAGTCATGGTTGTAAAACAGCTTTTTGTTATTTCGTTAGCATATGTATATTTGATTGTGTTAATGAATTAATTAAATTACATATGAACCTCATAAACCAAAAATTAAGTGTAAATTATTGCAAAATATTTAAACCAGATTTTTGGTATAAATAGCTCGAAATCGTCCGTCCAAATCATCATTCGACTAGAAGCAATCCTTCGAAGCATTAAAGATCTTCACATCTTCTACAACCAAACCCAACAAATCAATAAAAATGGCATCCAAATTGTTTGTGAGTAATATCTCGTATTTTTCAACTTGTTCAATAATAGTTGTTTAATAATATTATATTATTTCTATTAGGTATGTTTCGCTGTACTCGCCATCGCCGCCGTCGCCTTAGCTGCCGAACAAGCAAAATCCAATGAACGTGTCAAGAAATCCGCCTGGGCAGGATTAGGTAATTATTTTAACAATATCAGCTGATTTTACTTTAAGAATAGTTTGTGATTTTACCTTAAAATTTATATTTAAACCTTTTATTCAGAAATTTTTTATGTATCAGTCATTAATCTAAAATGTTTTTCGTCTAGTTAACGGATGAACCGCAGTTTTCGTAGGAATTATTTTAAAATATTAATTACTTTTGCTAGATATTTAAAAGTTACCTACTATCTTGTAACAGATGATATCATTTTGTTGATTAATTAATAAGATTTCGGTGACTGGCTCATAAAAACTTTTACCCTAATAAAAAGTTTTAAGTATCAAAAATTCATTACCCAGGCATTTCATATTCCATCGATATTACTTACACTAATAAAACCAAAGTGTGAGTAGGATGTATGTAAGCAAGATGTGCATATAACATTTAAATTTAAACATGAGAAGACATCAGGTGAATTTATTTCCGTTAAGTCGTTAAAACCAGAATTTTATAATAGCGAGATTTAGTGTTGCCAAGTGAAAGTAATTTCATTTAGTGGATTTAAAAATTCTGTAAAACTGTTCATTGACAATAATTGTATGTCATTCTTTATTTAAATTAATTCACTTAATTTTCATTTACTTTAATGCATTTCCAAAGTATTTTTTGAACTTATGTGCAAATAAAAAATATTTAACTTATCCGCTGCTTTTTTTTTTTGCTACAGATACTTACTCATACGCCGCTCCATACAGTCACGCTTCATACAGCTCTCTTCCAGTAGGAATTTCCGCTTACAGCGTCCCATTGGCTAGATCTACTCTCGGCTACAGCGGATTAGGTGCTTATCCACACAGCAGCTGGGGCCATGGTTTGAACAGTGCTTATGCTATTGCCCCACACAGCAGCTGGGGCCATGGCTTGACCAGTGCTTATGCCGTTACTCCATACAGCAGCTGGGGACATGGCTTGACCAGTGCTTACGGAGCTACCCCATACAATAGCTGGAACAGTGGACTCTACCCACACAGCAGCTGGAACAGTGGACTCCACTCACACAACAGCTGGAACAGTGGGCTCCACTCACATGGCATCTGGGCTTAAGAAAAGTTTCCGTAATATCTATTACGTGCGACACTTGTAATATTGTTTAATTCAACTTAAATACCATGTTGTAGTATCTTTTAGTGCTTCTTACAGTCTTTTTTCATCTTTATTTGTATATTTCAAATTTTAAATAAAATAAAAAAACATTTAAACTCGTACACATTTATTTTATTTGACAAACATACAATTTCCTGTCAATATTTTTACAAAGAGTTGTTGAAGGTATTTCACGATGCGTTAACAAAAACTAAAAATTTTAATGCATTCGAAAATTAGAAGTTATTCTTTTTGAAATTAAATGTTCTATTAAAAAACTGAATTAAAAAGAAAAACTATCTAATTTTATATTTGGACTTATCTGATTTCATAATAAATAAAAATTGACAAATTTCAACATTAATATTGTTGATAAGTTATTTATCATTCGATAAAATCATTGTTAACAAACAGTTTGATATAATGAAAAATTGTTTTTTACGGTTATTTTAATTATGCTAGTTTTTAAAACTAAGCAAACTTAAAAATATATCTAAATAAATGTATAATCTCAAATATAAGGTAATTGTTTTTTCCTCGGAAACAAGTATTTTTTCTTCTTTTTAACTAAAATGTATTTATATAATTAATCGATTGACACTCTAATAATAGTTTAAAAGTGATATTTTACTAAATGTCATCTTCTATAGCAGAACAATTAGATTTTATTGTTCTGCGTAAATTAATCATTATACGCAAGATTATCTTGGGCAGTTTTGTTTAGTTTTCTAGCTGTTATATATGGTGTGTAGATAAATAATAAGATTGGTAAAGTACTCATAAATATGTTAGCACTAATATTATGAAACTAGAAGTAACGTAAAACTCACATGTTGTATACCATCAGTATGATTTTGAGTTCAATAGAATCATTTTTTGTCTGTAGCAATGTTTTTTATAAAACCGGTTATGTTGGTGCGTCACAAAAATTGTTTTATCAATGTGAAGAATTTGCTTTATTTGAAAAATAAAACATGATATTTGTAATGCTTGCAATAGTATGGAGTTTCTCAACAGTATTTTTTTAGAAGGCATGTGGGCAATGATTGTAACAATCATTGTAGTACCCATTGTTTTGTGGGTACTATCCATTTTAGTTGGAAACTGAACTTGTAAACAGTCGTAGTCTGAACTAATCCTATCATTAGGTAGTTGTAACCAAATGATAGGGTTTTGTATAAGACATATTCTCGTGTGTATAAGTTATAGGTCGAGTGACTCTGAAGGTACGATCAGAATTGACTAGGGTATTTTGCTACATCAGCTATAATATTCCTATGTATTATACTAGTCAGTGAATTTATCCGAACGTGACCAGAAACATTTTTTGAATTGATGTTCGTCAATATTCAACGTATAAACTACGAATAATATTGATAATAAATATATTCTTTAAAATTCATACCTAGTCCTGGAACAATTACGTTTTTTACACGTTCATTTTCAGATTGATTATTGGCTGTAAAGAAAAAGACAGCCAATAAGAGTACAGTGACAAATACCTTCAGTCAATCGATATATATTCTTATAAAGTATTTATTTTAAATGTTTATAAAATGTTAAATTATTTTTTTTTAGAAATTCATGAACGTTTTGGAAGACATTTTTATATAATTATTTAGTTTTAAGAAAAAAAATTTTCTTTTTGAATATTTTTAAAGAGTAACGTCGAATTACTTTCTTAATTGAAAAATAAAAAGTAAATTGAGAATTTTTTTTTTTTAGAAAAAATTATCCAATACAACAACAATAAAATGAAATATGTACAGCAAAAACAAGTTTATATGATACATAAAACAATAATTAAATAACATGTGATTCGATATTGTTTTTCTGGAATAATTTTTATTTTAATTAAAATAGATGTAAACAATTACAATCCAATTTAAAAATAAGAAATTGACATAGTAATTAATGATTTTCTTTTGAATTGTAATTTAATAATTGTTCAAATATTGTTTATCAATGGTAATATTTTGATATATTAAATAATATATGGTTAGTTTTTAATATATATTTTTACACTTTTTCAGCCTATTAAGAGTGATAGCAGCATCTCCCGAAGAGAAGGTTTTTTATTAGTGGATACTTCGGGACGGGTGATTTTTACAAAGAGATCAATCCAAAGAGGGGGAGATAATAAGTCCAATTACTGAACTGAAGTGACGTGACAGAGTTTCAAAACTGAAACAGTGCGAATCAGACACTGTCGCGTTAACGACTCAGCTACACTATCCCTCTTAATTTTTAATATTATAATACAATTTTAAAAACTATAATGTATGTGTTCATATTTTAGTTTTAATTATATAAAATTTTACAAATATACACATTTAATACTGATATATTAATTTTTTTTTAATTTAAATTATAAAATGTTTTTTTAAAAAACTATGGTAATTTACTTGAATATTAATCTGCAACACTCAAACGTTTTTTTAGCTTATTTTTTATATTTCTTTGTTAGACGTGTTTTATTTTCTTTCGACATTTCAACTTTTTTTATCATCTATCATGAGATATCTCACAAAGTATTATAGTAATAAATATATCATTATAATTGACCATTGTTAAAATTACAACTATTTACATTAAAGTCTATTATATTCGTAACAATTAAATTTCTCAATACGTACTAATAGATAATTTTCACACACATTTCATTTAGCTTCATAAATTGTGTTAATATATAATTTGTTTAACTTATGACTAAACTATTCGAATCATGCAAAACATTATTCAGATTTTTCTGAAATTATTTTTAAAGGAATTAAAAATTTTGCTAAAAAAAACTGTTATTACTATTGGTAGGACATATATTTATGAACAGACATTTTCATTTTTTAAAAATCAAAATATATATATATATATATAGTGGCCATTAAACAACAAACAATTAAAAGTAGTCTACAATTATCAACATCGGAATTCAAAGCTGATATAAACAAAATGGTGAAAAATATCCAAGTTTATAAAACGCATTAAATGTTATTATATATTTTAAATTCATAAATTCTCTTTTTATTCAAAAAAACAGTTTTTTTTAAATAATTTATTTATTTTTAGATAAATAGTTATTTTTTAGAAAACAAATGATTAATCGTACGGAGTTATGATTTCTACCGTTTAATATTATTGTTATTTCAACATAATTAATATTTTAGCACAGTAACACTGATTTTATCAATCTTTAAAAGAAGCTTTTTTTATAAATTAATGTCGTTCTTCGACTAAATATTCAAATGTTTTTTATAAATTTCTCAACTGTTTAAAACATTGAAATACCATCCAACATTTTTATTTTATAGTAAATTAATTTTACCGAAAATCACATCATTTGTTTTTCTTTTTTTAATGAATCTGTTAAGACTTATTATATAGTTTTTACATAATAATTTCGTAAACAATTTTTAAAATATTTGAATTTTTTTAAAAATTATTTATGTTATTATACCTATTAAAATGTTACGGATAATAGTATCATTTGGTTTTCATAAATTATGATTTTTAAACTAAAGTTAAAAATATCAGGTAAAATATATGATAATTTTTTTTGTTAGTTAAATATTATCTCAGAAAGAGGTATGTAAAATGGCGAACGACGTGACGAATTATTTTAATATGAGTGTACAGTAAAACCTAACTGTTCATAAGTCAAGCAGAGGTGATATCAATATTTTAATTAAACATGTATTGTAAATAATTGCAATGAGTTCACAAACTTTTAATACAATACTACCTAATAACAATAGATCAAATCTAATACATCAATACAACAAATCTAATACAACAATCGATTTAAGAAAGATGATAGAATCTAATTACATTTTTAACTGTAAAATTCGTCGTTTAAAACTTTAAATATATTTTTTCATTAATGTTTTTTGTTTTTGCCAAACGGTTATTATTTAAATGTGTCATTCATATTATAATTGTACAATATTTTAAGATTAATTTATTGATAAATTAGATAGATTCTGAAAGTTATAATCAAAAATTAGTCTACTTAAGTGTTTAAGAAAAATCTATTTTTATACTTAAATAGGAAAAGGGATGCGACCGAGAAATGACTAATAAATTTTGTCCAAAAGTGAAAAAACTTAATTACGAATAGGATAGATTATAATATTGCTAGTGATTCACAGAATTATATTTAGTAACAAATTAAAGACTGACTGATCTAATTATAGTTATAAAACATTAAATTGGCGTGTACGAGTTATATTTATGTGTAATTAATCTAATAACATACCCGTACATTTTTCATAAGTAAAAAAAAAAGCCTGTAATGTTCATCTTTTCAGTCATTTTTATCAGTATATCAATAAATGACTCATTGAGCGCGATTTGTTTTATACTTGGATGTTACTATTTTTCGATAAATGAGGGCCGTGCTCGATCAAAAATTAAGAATTATTATAAATTTTATAACTTTTTTGATAAAATTATCACTGAAGTAAAAATTCAATAAGTTTATCAGATATTGTGTATCAATTTGGTTGTAGTAATCTTAAGGCTACTTTTTTATAAGTAGCTTGTGTAATTATAATAAATATAAAAAATTTAATTATATCATGATTCAGTACTATCGAACTGATATGTACTTATTTCTAGTGTTAAAAAAACTAAGCACAATGGAGTCATAGGATAGTGGAGACGCGGCAAAGNAGCCTGTAATGTTCATCTTTTCAATAATTTTTATCAGTATATCAATAAATGACTCATTGAGCGCGATTTGTTTTATATTTGGATGTAACTATTTTTCGATAAATGAGGTGCCGTGCTCGATCAAAAATTAAGAATTATTATAAATTTAATAACTTTTTTGATAAAATTATCACTGAAGTAAAAATTCAATAAGTTCATCAGATATTGTGTATCAATTTGGTTGCAATAATCTTAAGGCTACTTTTTTATAAGTAGCTTGTGTAATTATAATAAATATAAAAATTTTAACTATATCATGATTCAGCACTATCGAACTGATATGTACTTATTTCTAGTGTTAAAAAAACTAAGCACAATGGAGTCATAGGATAGTGGAGACGCGGCAAAGTGGGGATGCGAATATGTTAAATTTCAAGATAATTTGTATATTTTTAACTTCAACATTTATATATTTTAATATTCCACTTAAATATCAAATTCTTGTGTAAATTATTTGTTTAAAAGAAAATTATATTTTAGTACGTTTCAAGAGCTTTAATGTGATGTAGGTTAGAAAAAATTAGTCTTTCCTAAACATTTCCTAATTCGAGATAAAAAAAACTTTGAACGAATGAGTAGTTTATTTTAAACCCTTCATTTACTTATGATATTCATTGAATTTACACAAAAAGCATACCAAAAAAATATTATTGTCTCTTTTATATTGTATTAAAATTGTAATGCGATTAGTGTATTTTTATAATTGTTATAGCAAAATAAAAAAAGTGGTGAATTTTCACAGACATTTTTGAGATTATTCGCTTTAAAGTCATATAATGCAATAAAAAATATCGCGGAAATGTTTTTTCCAATATAAAGTACTCTTGAAGATATTCAATTTAATTTAGGTTTGAAGAAAAATTGAAGAGTTGAAAACTTTTCTTTAACTTGCTTAGGTGGTCTTCTTCAAACCCTTATTGTATACAAATATTTTATTGTTTATTATGAATAGCACACTAAAAGAAAGCTTGTTGTCTTTAGTTCACTTTTTTCGAATTTCAAAATGAACAGTGTTCTAAAAAATAGTTATAGTATTTTGAATATGTGATATTTTATGATAGCGTTATTTTGACAATTATTTTTAAATTAGAGTCAAGTGCATTAAAATCGAGTTTTTTTGGGGTATTCTTTATTAAAATCGGTCCAGTTAGAGCTGCAATTTTTATGGACAGGTATAAAAAAAACACATAGCATCACAAAACCAATATCTTTTCAGCTTCACAACAAAGCATAAATAAAGAAGTTTTATATTTAGTTAAAAGCAAAGTTTGAAAAATATTTGAAATTTTACAGATTTTTATGGAAGTGATGTTAATTACTGTCAGATATCTATTCTTGACCTTATTGTATTGGTTTTCTTATTATTTGAAATTTTATTATCCCCTTTATCTGAGATGTGTTATTTCTTTTTCTAAAATTATTTTATGGTACATATTTTTATTAGATCAAATATTGTTTGGAATTTTTATTAACCTAAATTTTCATGAACTGTTAAATATTAGTTCTGGAATCTTAATTTTTTTTTTTAACCTGAGTTTTAATTTTTCAAGAACTTGAATTGTTATTTTATTTAAGTTCTGGTCCCTGTACATAATTAATTTTAGATATTACGTTGTTGCATTACATTTCATTTTTTAATATTCTATGTGTGCATACGATACAAATAGTAGTATAACAAAGTAATCTCTACTAATCAATTACAATTTAAATATTTGCAACTAGGCGTATTATTTTAATTGTGGTATATATTACTTTAAAAGAACAGCCTTTGGCAGGTTTTAAATTATTAACGTTGAATACTTAGGTTTTAATAAACGTAAAAAGTGATTTTCAAATTAATCTACATTTCATGTTGCGTGCGATTGTTCAAACTTATAAATAACAGTTGACTCTACAGGTGTTTTTCGTTTAATTCGTTTTAGTTGTACTTTCGGTTTTACTCGAAAAGAAGCAGAAATTTACTAAGTATTAGAACAAGATAAACAAATATTTAAAGAATTCTATGTTTGTTCTTCGGTTAGATTTATGTCCTTTTATAACATCACTCATACACACCTAAAGTATGTGCATTTAACTTAACTCTAATGTTGTGCTAGTATTTCATACTCACATGTTAGAAGTAAAGTTTCACGTACTCTGCATGCTAAAGTTTGACTATTTTTTCGGTTTTCTGGACCATAGAGGAATTTAGATGGCACAATTATTATAAGTTATTATTATTATTCTAATATTTTGATCTGAAATTGATAAATACATTTTTGTATACTTTTGTTCCAAACAATATTGTTTTATTAAATTCCAAGAAAAAATACCTATAAGAATAATTAAGATTCGGTATTCTTAACTTTAAAATAGTTAGGACAAGTATAAATGATTAAAATCACAATCATAAAAAACGCTTCGATGCAAATCTGTAGATAGTGTTTAATTTTAAGAAATTGCTGGATTATTTTAAAAGCAAAATTAACTCCTATTTTTTGTTTTAATTCGGTTGCCATTTGCACATTGAAAATAAATCGTTGGTACTAATTTTTTTTTTTTTAACTTCTTGTAGATAAAATAAGCTTTATGTTAAATAGTTCTACTTTTTATACAAATTTTCAAAAATCAAAAAAAAATTTTCTTAATTTTGATGAGGCAAAATAAGTATAAATATATTATTTATATATTTATAAGTTAGATTTATATAAATTTTATATTTATTGGTGGACTCATTCTTAGGGCAAATTCTTATAAGATATATTAAAATAAACAAAAAATAAAATTTGAATACAAAAATAGCATGTTTTTCAACTACGGTAGTCATTTGCATAAAGAAGATACGTTATCGGGACAATTTTTTTTTAATTTATAGCACGTAAATAAGCTTTAATTTAATATATGTTTTAAGAACGCAATATTTCCGAAACATTTTGAAAGTTAAGTTGAGTTTTTTAAAAAAGTTACTATTTTGAATCCCCATTTGGGTACAGGTTAAGGGTCAGATATTGAAAAATATTATATAAAATAAAAGGGAATTACTTAAGGTTTCAATATTAAAAAAAAAATGATTTTTATTTGTTTATTATTTAATAAGTTATGGAAGATTTAAGTACCAAAAAAAACATTAAATTTACACGAAAATTACATTTTTTGTTCAAGTTTGACGGTTATTTGCACATAAAAAATTGGTTATCTGGACAAATTTTATTTTACATCTTATAGTATATAATGGAAGTTTTTATTAACATATGTTTTGAAGGACGCAGTATTTCCGGAACATTTTCAAAAGTTAAGTTGAAAAAATTCTACTTTTTATTCGTATGTTTCAAGATTTGAGCGTCCCCTGTATAAGAGGAAATTGTTTGATTTAAAAGAAATACTTTGGATGAAAGAGGTATATATAATGTATTTAGAAACAAAAATTTGTTTTGATCCATATATTATTTAAAAAGTTATAGCAATTTAAATAAAAATTTAAAATCGAAAATTTTTTAACAAAAATAGCATTTTTTAACTATGGCAGTCATTTGCATAAAGAAACTAAGTTGTTGGGACAATTTTTTTTTTAAATTTAAAATAAACAAATTATGGTAAAATTAATAACTTCTCAGCTTCGCATAGAAGATAAAAAATTCACATCTAATTTATTCTTGGTGAAGTTAATATATTTTGATATTATATTTTTATGATTTATTAGAACAAAAAAATATGTATAAATGTTTTATATTATTATTTTACAAAAATATTCAAGTTTATCTACTTGTATAAATTTTAAATTCGCAAGTCTATGGTTAATAATTCAAGGTAAGTAAATAGTAGTTTTGAGAGTAAAGATTTTATGTTAATTAATAAAGACGTTTAAAATAATTTAAATCCGTACTGATTCGCATAGAAAATAAAATAATAATAAAACATAATATACTCCAAATAAATTTTTGCCATTTGGCAAACAGTAAAGTTAGTTAAACATTTTAGCTATTTCCAAAGTTTCTTTGGAAATTAACGACTGTAATAAATTATCTGTATGGTGTATACAATATCAAACTTATTTTAATTATTCACTGTGTTAGAAAAATGTAGGAGACAAATTTATTTTAATATTACAATGGATTTTAATTTATAATTGTTTGATGATATTACTTAAGCGTGTCAATGTGGTAAATAAATATAAATTCCCTGTGATGTATTTTCTACAAATTAGATACTCTTGATTAAAATTATGTATGTAAGGTCAAAATTTTATAAAATGTGTGACAATGACAATGCAACATAGATTCAAAGTAATTTTTTTTAGTAAAAATAAAAAATTTATTAAAAAAATACCACTATTTAAAAACCGGATTATTTACAATAAAAAAAATTATAAAAATTACAGGTAAGTTTATAAAATTCTATAAGTTGTATATACATATTTTATCTGTTTTTTTCCCTACGGTAAAATAGTATTATAAAAATTTTATAAAATGTAAATTTCGAGTTAGATCTTTTTAGTTTCAGTATAAAAACCTTCGATCTGTTGGTCCATATCATCAGTTGTTTGACTTCTATCAATTGAAGTAGTCTAAAATTACTCTGTTCATTTTTAAACCTCCAATAAACAAACATAAAATGGTTTCTAAATTTTTTGTAAGTATACATTTGTTTAATTGTTTTCTGAAGTTTTTAATGACATCAAATTTGTTAAATTTTTTTCACACAGATATGTCTAGCTGTACTTGCCTTTGCTGCCGTTGCCTTCGCTTCAGAAAATGAACGTGTAAAGAAAGCCGTAATTATTGGGGGACCAGGTAGTTTATTGAAAAATATTTATCATAACTTAATCTTAGTTTAATCCTACATTTGATAAGTATATCATTTTCAATATTACCACTCTTCTTCCATACAATATATATATTTATATATAATATATAAATACAATATATTATTTTTTTGGTCCTTCCAAAATATATCTTTTCTTTATTTATTATCAGTACAAAGAGGTTCTATCTCTTATATCTTCCGAGATGCTCCATACAGGAAAATTAGGACTAATCGTTTAGTAAAGTCGTCGATTTTCATTAACATTTTTTTTTTATCCACTTTTAAAATATTTAATATTTATTATTTTATAACACTATACATGATTCTCAATAATACATCAAAAGATCACAAAATGTATTTAATTAAAGCTAATAATATCATAATAATGATAATTCTCCTCAATCTCCGTTAATAACGGAAAATATTCCCTAAAATTACAGTTGTAATATTGATAATTTTAGTTTTTACTTTGTATTAAAATAATTTTTTGAAAACTATGCTGATTATTGTACAATTTTTATTGACAATACTTCAGACATTTTCCTTGCCGTAAGCATTTTTTTTTTTTTGAAAATCGAATCATTAAATAGGGTACTGCGGCATCTTTCAATAATACCAAACTTTTTTCTTTTCAATTTTTGTTAAACATGACTTGTTTAAGCCTACATTAAATTAAAACTAATACAATTTATTTTAATATGAAAAGAAAAAATATATACAAAGAATTATAGATATTTAAAGCCAATAATCATACAATTTTCGGTAAAAATGGCTGATTTTGAAGTGTTTTGCATAGGAACAGAACATCTAAACCATTCAAAACTAAATATAATACAAGTCTTTTTTTTTTTAACGTTTTCTATCAGGCTTCTTAAGTTTCTAATAACAATTATAAGATGAAATATAATAAAAAAATCAGTAAAAGAAGTGGTTTTATATTTTTTTTTATCATTTTTTGCTTTCTTATAGTTGATGCTACTGCCTATCCAGGTGCCCTCGGATATGCTCACGGTTACGCCACTCCATACAGCCATGCTTACAACGCGTACCCGTATGGTCTTGCCCGTGGATACGCTACCCCCTACAACTATGCTTACAACTCCCTTCCATATAGCCATGCTGCATACAATGCTCATGCTTACGGATACAGCCACCCATGGGCTTCATACGGCAAAACAGCTTACAACTACAACGGATACCACCCCTACAGCAGCTGGAACGGACTACACCACGGACTCTACAACAACTATTACGGATCGGCTTATCCATATTCTTATTGAACAACATGAACCCTTAATTTCGATATCCTGTTAAATACCATAATCAAACTAATTGATGAAACTTTATTACATTTTTAACTGAGTATATATTAGCAATATGTGCAACAGAAAAAGTGTTATTGTTTTTTTTTTAATAAAATAATAATTGATTTAAAGACTTTTTTATTTTAAATTAAAAACTCTGTAGCATTCTACAATGATATAACACAGTGCTGTTTGATATATCAAACTTAGTTTTATGCCTTTAAAAAAATAAGCAAAAAAAATTAAGTTCTATAAAAGATTCATAGTTTTCAATTACTATGAATTTATATTTTCGGGTCAATTTTGATCCTTTATACTTCCAAGGGTTAATAACTATTTATTGCATTTAAATCGAGAATAACTTTATGATGTCTTAAAAATTCTGTTTCTAAGTGAAGTTTGGAAAAAGGAAAAAAGAGGTTAAAAATAATTATTCATTTTTATATAAACACCAATGTTAATTTATTGTATATCCAGCATAAAAAATAAGATTAGTCTCTTTGGAACAAAAATAAAACGTAAATATTCAGTGAACTTCTGGTTATGTAAATGTCGCAATGGTCTTGAATATCTTTTTGTTTGTGCTAATAAATTAATAACAAATTAAACAATCATTCGTAATTGTTTTATAAATATAATTAGGTGGCTTCTCATACAACGTTATTCCACAAAATTATTAAATTCCAAAAACTTTTTGGAATTTAATTTTGGTTTACATTTTTTTTTTGTCGTGTAACGTGCTATAGAGGTATCTAATTATATTTATAGAATCATGTAAATTTTTTTACGAACTGCTACATAGCACGTTATTCCTGATGACCTTTTCACTATTCTAGTTTATTTCTAGAATGTAGAGTATGCACTTTAAATTATAAACATTAAGTATTTACATCAATATCACTGTATTATTATAAAAATTACATTGATTTTTGTAATATGAAGTTATGACGAGCCATGAAACTTAGTTTATCAGGGCATTGTATTTATGATGTATATGAGATTGATTTCTTACAATATAAAATGGTCAATAACATTAATATATGATCAAATACTAACATTGAGATGAATCAATCCCTTATTACATGTAAAGAAATCTATTGAAAATATATATATGAAAAAATTAGACTCTTCGACAAAATTTATTGTAAAAATAATGTTTAAAATTTCTTGAAAATTTAATGTTCATTGATAATATACAATAGGATTATAATGATTACTTAGGATAACACAATAGTCTTTTATATTGAAGAGCGTGAAACGCTGTATATTTAAATAAAACTGAAGGCGCCATTAGAGTACATAAATAAAAATATTAATTAGCAATATATATACAAAAATAATTGGAAAGCCATATAAAGGAAAAATTAAGAAGCCATAGAAATTTAAAAATATTAAGAAGCCATATAAACGCATCAATTAAGAAGCCATATAAATGCAACAATTAAGAAGCCATAGAAGTTAAAAAGTATTAAGAAGCCATAGAAATTAAAAAGTATTAAGAAGCCATATAAACGCAACAATTAAGAAGCCATAGAAATTTAAAAATATTAAGAAGCCATATAAACGCAACAATTAAGAAGCCATAGAAATTTAAAAATATTAAGAAGCCATATAAACGCAACAATTAAGAAGCCATAGAAATTTAAAAATATTAAGAAGCCATATAAACGCAACAATTAAGAAGCCATAGAAATTTAAAAATATTAAGAAGCCATATAAACGCAACAATTAAGAAGCCATAGAAATTTAAAAATATTAAGAAGCCATATAAACGCAACAATTAAGAAGCCATAGAAATTTAAAAATATTAAGAAGCCATATAAATGCAACAATTAAGAAGCCATAGAAATTTAAAAATATTAAGAAGCTATATAAATGCAACAATTAAGAAGCCATAGAAATTTAAAAATATTAAGAAGCTATATAAATGCAACAATTAAGAAGCCATAAAAATGAAATAATTAAGAAGCCATAAAATTGAAAAAGTACTATAGTGTACTTGACTTTATTCTAAAGTACTGAAGTAGTCATAAACTGTAGCCATATAATTACAAAAAAGAGAAAAACATAATACTTTGAAATAGAGTTTAATTAAGTATATTTAAGATACATAATAACCTTCAAAAATTAGTTTTCAGTTTTGTTATTTATGGTATACTTCTGATACATTGGTAAAAAAATTGGCAAGACTAACTATGGTAAAAAAGGAAATATGTTTATACTTGATTTCAAGGCAAACAAAGTTATACTTGCGTTTTTTTATTATCTTCCTATTTTTATAACAAAAATACAAATCTGTTATACTAAAATAATTATTTTTTTTTAATGTTAAATAAAATATTAATTAATCATAAAATAATATGTATAATTTTTAATTATTCGATAATTTTAGTTTATATTTTATGTATACAGAGTAGAATATATCTAATTATAAATTCTTGCAGCTTTTGGATTTAATAATTATTGATTATAATCATTTCACTGTAATTTTTTTTAATCAATTTTTGCATTCATAGGAAACATTACAGGTATATTTTTTATTATTTATTTGAAAAGAAAATTTTTTTATTTCAAAATAGCCTTTATTTTGTAGTCCTTTTATTTATAAAAATGTTATGGGTACTTTTTGAGTAGTCATGATTATTATTTATTGAATTAGAAGCATTTTAATACACTGAGTGGGTATAAACAAATAATAATTAAAAAAAGTGTAATGTAGCGTAAGAATGCAAAAATTGTTAAAAGTTATAAAAGTTTGTTAAATCTGTTCTATCCAATCATATACAATATGATTTATAAGAATACTACCACCCATTTTATCGTTAAATAATGATTTTTATGATAATTTATTCATTATAATTTAATTAATTTTTACTTCTAAGAGTATATTTTAGGGGTAACGATTAATATTGAAATAGGAACCTATTAATAATTCTTTGCTATTGAATTCAGAATGTTTAAATCAATTTTTAACATGTCAATAACCAATTTTTTATTATTAATTTTTGATATACAGGGTGTTCAGTAAGTCAGGAAACGGGTTTCTATTGTTCTCATTGTTACAAACAATGAGAACAATAGAAACCCGTTTCCTGACTTACTGAACACCCTGTATATGCATTTAAAGATTTAAAAAAGGTGACGTTTATGAAGTTTAGCAATGCTCTATTTTTATCATAACGTACATGTATAAGAATAATTCTACTTTGCGCATTACGCATTACGTTTGCCTTTAACTAAGAATTATTACTAACAGGACATGGTCACTTGTTTAAACATCTTTACGCAATGGGGGTATTGAAATTACCATTGTAAAGAAAGTATGAAGTAGAAGAGGAAGACTCTTTACACATCATGTGCGAATGTGAAGCCTTGTCCACACTAAGATCAAACTACTTGAGTAAAACTTTTTCTGAAAAAGAATATATTAAAAACCTAAGACCCAGAGAGATACTTAATTTCGTCAGAATGACAGGACTCTTTGGTCATCTACAGGAGGTGACTTGATAGCCCACCCTTATACAATGATAGGTATGATATAATAACACTTCGGTAATAACACATAGTTGTGTAAACCTAATCAAGACAATTCGGTATGAGGTGTGCACAATGGACCAACAGGTTTGAGTGCATGGGCATTATGTCCACCTCAATAATAACTAAAACTAAACTAAAAAACTAATAACTATATTAACTCAAAAATAATGGTAGAAAATTGATTTTGCATAATTCATTCCCCACATATTAGTAAAAACAATTTTTACTTTTTCATTAAAATTCGAAAGTTATTCTAAAAAATTACTTTTAGAAATATATTTTTCTTATAGTGAACTTAATATTAACCATTGTTCATAAATATAAATAAAATTTTTATCAAAAATCATTATTTAACGAACAAATTTATCCTTGATAAATCATGTTGTATGTGTACATTAAAATTTACATGATAGGTAAATAAGATGTCAAAATGGATGTCCAGTGTTGCTCTTGTTGCTGTGAATATGTACCTATTAAGATACTATTACTTTAAAAATTAATTTTTAAATATATATTTAACGTCTTTCCAATTAAGTAACATAATCATGTGCTAGAAAGGACAAGAATACATGTACAGCTCGATAGATGTGATCGAACCCTGACACTTATGCACCAAATACGACATATCGCCAACGAGCTATACTGGCAATATACCATTGGATATTTTTTTATTTTTAAAATATTTTATTTTTTAAACCTATTGTAATAAGCCTCACTTATAATTATGTAAAATTTCACAATTATAACTATCAATTATTATAAACTGTGTCATTGTAAAACTTATTAATTTGACAATGACCCCGTTTCTGTACATTCTGCATACTACATAAAAATACGAACATTTAAAATAATTTTTACTATGTTTACATGAATCTGAATTTTAATTTGATACATTTCTTAATATAATTAACAAATCCTGTTAATTAAATTAAGTCAACAAAAATATAAATGATTATGAAATAATTGAATTTATTATATGAGTGTTTATGTGATAATTAAATGATAAATGATAAATAATATTGTTCTTATAGACATAAAATTAATATGACACGTGCTTTTTTTCAGGCATACTTCTGATAAATATTCTTAAATTAATTAGAAACCCAATTATTTCCACAAAAGAATGTTGATCAAGAACTCTAAAATCTTAATTATTGAATATGTTGTATACTATATCTCTATATTAAATAAAATACATGTACAAAATTAAATTAATATGTTTTATATGTATTTAGATTTCGCATATGATTTAACTATTAGCAAAACAAATAATAATTGTCCAAAAGTCTTTTCTAAAATAACGAAAAATTATTGACGATCTGTATTAAAATAAGATATTGAACGAAAATTGTAACAATAAACATATTTTTAACAAAAGTCATTTCACTTAAACAAAACAATTGTAACTGTATGCTATTTTAGTATAAATTCTATAAGAAGTATACATTATTCTGCCGAGAAAGAACACATTTGCTAGTAAAAAATATTCAAAAATATCTAATAGCGTTGTACTATTGCATGTCTAAATTTTAATTTCAATTTTGTCAATGAATTCATTTATTTTTATTTAATAATTTTCTATACTAATGTAATTGGTATAAAGTGCATATTCTATTGTTATGTTTTATACAAACTGACATTATTTTAAAGAATAAATTAGGTCATTGCTAATAAAGTATTAGTATTTAAGTAATAACAGCAACAAGTATTTTTTTTCGTTACGTATAATCTATTAACCTCTAGATTTCAAATCACTTTTTACCATATGTTTTGATTCATATTATTATTATTCATATTCAAACATACGATTCAACATATCCACTTTTTGCTTGCCTCTAAGAATATTAACACACCGGGTTGAATATTTTCATTATATTTTTTCTAAAGTTGACTTTGACGGGACCAAATTTTAAATTTTTTAGCGATTTGCTTGCATAAAAAGTTCTCAAATAGAATAAACTTATTATCGGGTTGTCAAATTTCTATAGGACACGTACACTATATATAATATTATATATAGCATTATGTATACATAATGCAATTGTACAATGAAGACATGTCATCGGGCAGAGGAGTTCTCTTAATGTGAACATTTTCAGATTAATGAAATATTCCTGATTTTATAGATCTCATAAAGCTAAAAAATTATCATTTTGAGTATACTGGTTATTTTTAATTTTTACATAGTTTATTAAAGACAATAAAATTGTTTTACTTTTAATAAAAAAAGAACTCTGAGGCTAAGTTAAGAAAAAAGTAAGAAGTTTTCTTATAAAAATATTGTTGTACATTTATCTATGATAGTTGTGTGGTTTTAGCTATATTATTATATACTTATTATATATAATATTATATTACTAATATTTGTTCTTTAATTACATTGATGTCACTTAAAAATCTTGTGATTAAATAAAAATAACCCACATGTTATGTTGAGAGATTGCTTCCCTTGACTACTGCCCACCTATAATTGTAATATAGCGATTTTGAAAATTCAATTATAATAATTCAAAATGTCATTTATAAATATATACTATACATTTTTATAAAGTTGTAATAACAACTCATGTTTTGAAACTAATCTATTTACAAGTAACAAGTTACGAGTTTTAGAATTTTTGTTTTTTATATTTTTCAAATAATATACATTTATATATGCTAATTTAAAGCTAATAACTAAACTATTTTACTCAATGCCGAATTTTAAATACCATGTTTGCCAAAACCACTGAAAAAATTAATTGAAGATTCTCAAATGACCACGAATAACAAGTGTAAAAAAAATCATAAATTTAATGAACGATTTTGACATTTATTTTGTGTGATCTTCTTGTTTTTATTTTTTTTTCCTCATGCAAATTAGTTCATGAATCTAGATATAGTTGTTATGGAATAATAATAATGTTCATCCTTTTACGATTACTATATATAATCCGAGCTGATTGATTCACAGCATCATTCGTTTTACTTCAACCGATCGAACAGTTTCAAATTTTTATAAAAAAAACCAAGTATTTCGAGTACAATGGCTCTCAAAATTGTAAGTATATCGTGATTCTTTATCTGTATTTCATCTTTTTTAGTTAAAAATAAGTTACATTATTTTCGTTCTCTTCAGGTCATTTTACTTGCTTTGTCAAGTGTCGCTTTGGCTGTTGATGTTGTTCCATCACCTGTATCAGCTGTAGTCGCAAAATCTGTTGTTGCACCTCATGGTTAGTATGATTAAACAAGTTTATATAAAAAATCTGTACAATTTATTTAGTATAAACTCTTTTATTTTCATTTATATAATTAACTTATCGTTTTTATTTTAAGCTATTTAAGGTATAAAAATATATATCACATCAGTTAAATAACTGCCAACGATTTATAATATATTTTGTACTTTTACTTTTCCAAAAACTTATTATTAATAATTTCAATCTACTTAATCGTTTTTATGAAATATAGCCGTAGGATGGGGAGCACCTTGGGGAGCAAGATGGGCTGCTCCAGCTGAAGATGACGGTAGCTGGACTCCCGACAAATACGATAGAGTTGCTCCAGCTCACCCAGTCTGGAACAATGGCTGGAATGGATGGAACAATGGCTGGAACGGATGGAACAATGGCTGGAATAACTTAAGAGCCGGATATCCAGTAAATCAATATGCCGCTGGTTGGAACAACGGCTGGAACAACGGATGGAACGGCTGGAACAACGGATGGAATGGCTGGAACAACGCCAGATATGGCTACCCATACTACAGACGTTAAGTACAAAACTCGACTATGCCTGTTACTTAATACAGCTCTGCAAATGGCTTCAACCATACATAACATGGCACAAGCTTTTGGATAGTAAAAAGATATCAACATTTTTATGGATACTAATAATTTGTTAAATACTTCATATTTTCACTCTCATGTAAATTTTGTATATTTTAAGTTAAATAAAATTTATGAAATGTACAGCAAAAAAAATGTTTTATTCTTTGGAATTATTAATTTGAGTATGTTGGCTTACATTTTATCATGAAAAAATATTAATAAAAAAATCACCCCATATTTACATTTCATAACCTTATATGGTATGTTTATTATAAATAAATAAATAGTGATATTTTAAAATAATAGTCCAATGATTCCAAAAACTTTCGAGAGTTATTTAAAAAGATCTTTTCCATATATATTATAAAAAAACTTTTCAATCTTAGAACATGTGAAAAGCTTGGAAAAAAATTATTAATAAAATTTTTATAAATAATTTTTAATATTCAAAAAAATTCTCCAACAAAATATCTTCTAAAATGTTTGCATTAACGTTTAAAGCTCATAAAATATAATGTACATATTAAAAGGTTTTCGTTTAGCAGCTAAACGAAAAGCATAAGATATCATTTAGATCACATTTCATAATGTTTGGTAATATTCATAGTACTTTAAAGAAAGATAAAAGCGACTAAGTATAAGTCATAGTTTAATGCTTGTGCGGTTGGTATGCTAGAGATACATTCTGAAACACATGCCGTTGTTTGATTAAACATATTTTGTAACTTTAATGCTACAATATCGAATAAGCATTAGTCTCAATATTTTGTTAATTATAATACAATTAAATTATAACCTTTTTATACGTGTATATTAGAGTTGCAAAAAAAAAAAAATTCGTTAAACAAGTATTCATAAAATTGAGTATTTTCAAATCGAGCGAAAATCGTTCGGCAGATTTTCAATTCAAAGTACATCCCTTTGCGTTTGAGCAATAACAAACAAAAGTAATTTCAAGTTAGTGTTTTATAGTAACAATAATGACTGGTAAACACTACATGAATGCATATTATAAAGTATTCTTTAGAGAATTGAAATTAATTAAATCACATATAAAAGCGGCACCAGTAATCACTGGTTATTTTGTGTGAATGTGATTTTGTCACTTACACTAAACGTACGATAATACATAAATCGTGGGTGTAGTTTATATTGTGCCCTGGGATGAGTCAGGCAGATTTAATATTATTTTTTATTTCTCGGCAATAATTTACTGTTACTCGTTCGTTAACTGCATTGTATCCGATTTCCTGCAATACTTAACCAAGTCATCAAAACGATTCATTTCAAAACATTACTACAGTAATAGATTTTAACGGCGTTGTCACATTGGCTATAATCAACGCACAAAACAATTCACTAATGTTTTGTAATACTTTATAGTTGACTTAATTATCTCTGATGATATTGTGCTAATGCAAATAAATGATCGAATAAACTCATTCTGGCGCGCGATTATTTTTATCGTCACTTACTAAAAACGATATTACAATAATTTTCATTTGTTCGAATTTTCATATCAATTGACGTATTATCCAATCTAATGATTTTCCATGTTCAATGACACAAATGATATTTCATGTACACTGCCAAATACTGTTCTTCAGTTACTATTGTTATGGTGACGATGTGATATTAGTCACAACAATAAAAATTAATTTGTTAATCAGACAAAATTTGTAATTCAATCGTTTAAATGTCGAGTAAATATAAGCTTAAAAGACGAATATTTATGTTTAAAATAATGTTTAAGCTAATGAAATAAGAACGAGCGCCTAGTATAAACGCGTTAAACCTGAACATTTTAAAGGAATCGTGTTTACTTTGAATTTCCTTCAAGTTAGTTGAAAATACTTGTTTTGATTATTATTATTCTTCTGCCGCTAAAAATCAATATTATTTATGAACAACTTTTTTTAACTTGACCTTCGACCGATATAACATTTCTTTAAGTAAACAAACGCATTATACTCTTGCGAGTAAAACGTTTCTTTTGTCGTTTAATTCTTTACAACGATTATTCAGCAATTATTTGTCAAGAGTAATAAATTTAAAACATTTGCTTATTTGTGAAAAGTTCAAAATATTTATAAAGTCGTTACATAAACATGTATATTATTTACAAAAGTTCTCACAAAGTCAAAGTAAACATCGATAATATCGTATGGTTTATACGTTTGTGTGATAATATTTTGAATCAATATTAACCCTTCTTTTATGTTTTAAACGTTACTCATGTATATTAGCTTTGATGTGTACTCGTGTGACAGTTAAACATTGTTTCGGTAATATTCAACGTGCATTTGTGACATAATAGCAAAATGTTGTTTTAGGAATTGATTTCTGTAGCATCTCATCCGATATGGGAAATAAATGTAATGAAATAAGTTTATTATTTAAATATTATTATTGTAAACGATTACATTTAAAAATAAAATCTCTTGAAGAATATCTTGTAGATAAAAATCGTAAATTATGAGCTGGAAGTTCCATTTTATTCTTTAGTACATAATAAGGGCTAATATTTATGATATTACACTTTTATATATCATTTATAAAATAATATGTATACAGTGTGATTTTTTTAAGAATGACAATCCTAATATTTTATTAAATGTTTTCTCTTTTATAAAAATTACAAATTCAAATTTGACTTATTTTTATAAATTATAGTAAATATCAAGTTTAATAATAAGAAATNTATAAATTATAGTAAATATCATGTTTAATAATAAGAAATTTCTATAGGTAGATTTTAGGAGTAATGTTCGAAAGTTAAATGGGAACCTATAATTATTTTTAACAATGAAATGACGACTGATTTACTAAAATAAAATAAAAGTAAATACAATTTTAACTGCCGATAACCAGTTTTGTATTATTACTTTGGAGTTAATGTAATTTTTAGTTATAGGCGAGAGGATGTGCAACGTAGAAGTATTTCCTAAATCTGTGCGTAAAAATTGAGCGATGTTAAACACTATTCCACTAGCAACCTTTTTTATAAACCTTTAAATGCTATTATCTCATAAAGCGATATTACAAAACTGATCGACCAGTCAAATAGTCCAATTATTTCTTTAATAGAAAAAAATGATATTAGGTTCTCATTTAAATTTCAAAAGTACCCCAATAATTTACTCTTAGAAATAAGTTTACTTACAACAAACTTGATATTTATTATAGTCAATAAAAATAAATCAAATTTTAATTTGTATATTTTTATGAAAAAATCAGTAATTTATGAAACGAGGAGGGTAATATTACTTAATGAGAATACAGCACTTAATTATTCAGAAAAGATGAGGCGCTGGGTAGTGTTTAGCAATGCTCTATTTTTGTCGTGACGCACAAATAACAATTCTTCAACGTTTCACACCCTCATCGACTACAACTAAGAATTACATTAACTCAATAAGTAATATTATAAAACTTGTTATTGATCAGTCAACAGTATTTAAATCATTCTTTATTTAATAGTAAACAAATAATAACAGGTTTTCGTTTAATTATATGAAGAAATCATTATTTAACGAAAAAAAAAGAGATATCATTTTTAATTAATCATACTGTAAATATACGTAATGATTGATTTATCGTTGAACTCTGAATTGCTCCTAAAATAATAATAGTTTTGAATTTTTATTTTGATTATTAGTTTTTATTTCTTGATTTTTGAACGTTTAAATATTTATAGGTTATCTCTTATAATGTACCAATTTCATTTTTTTTAATGGCAACATACATTATTAAGTAGTTTATACATAGAAAATAATATAACTAAGAAAATAACTGGTCGATAACAATTTATGAATATATATTTCTGATGTTATTGACATTTTTAAATGAAGACTGGCGGCAGGGTGTGGGGTATGTGTTTTTTATCATGATGATGCATCACACTGCCGCGCTAGTGCTCCCATCAAGGTATAAAAATATTCTTTACTCCTAAAATACAATTTAACAAGTTATCGATCGTTGACAACTCAGAAATCAAAAAATAAATACTACTTGAATAAGTCAATAAAATTGTCTAAGAATTATCTACTTATCTAGATTATTATTATTTTATAAGAAATCTATTGGCCAATAATAACTCAATCACTTTGTTTATTTATAAATGTACTTGTAAGAAATTTAAGAGTTACATCTAATATCAGTATTTTTTTTAATTTTCAAAAATTTGTATAAAAAGTATTAAACAGCGTAAAAATGTTGCATTGCATAATTTGTTTTTTACGGATATATTTTTAATTATGTTTTAATATAAAAAGTATATATTATTAAATAAATAAATTAGTATAATTATGTTTTTAGTTTTTTAAGTCATAAGCATGAAAATATCCTTAAAATTTTTATTTATAAATAGTTCATGGAAAATTAATAAACGTGCTTTTATAAAATATAATTAATTTTTATTAAAAAAAACGAGTAAAAAAATGACAGTATAGATATTTCAGTAAGCAACTGTTGTGTGTTTTCTGAAAATTTTGATAAGTTGCTTTTACAACGATTTAAAAATAAGTAAAGAAGAGTATTAAAAAGTAAACTGTTGTTTTGCTCAATTTAGTATTCTACTAAGCTGGATTAAGTATAATAAGATGACATTTATTTTGTACATATTATTCATCTTGTTTATACAAATATGTTTGGTACGTATATCTATATTTTCCACGAGAAAATATATTAAGTATAAATAATTAATTAAATTCACCACCTTGAAACGTTATCTCTGATCTTGTATGTGTAAATTAGCACTACGATAATATTTTTAAAATATATTTTATGTTGAAAAAAAAAACTAAAATGATAAATTAAAATAATCAGTTCTGTGTGCTATGAACGATCTCATATATGGCAACTTGTTTTAAGCTAAAAATACTACTCGCGAGTGAAACAGTAAAATCCACCGAATAGAATCAGAAATCAGTTTGGATTGCTGAATGTCTTCCGCCGATAACTACGAAGGCGGCGCCAGGCGTTGTTTAACAAGCCATGCGGTTTTTGACCTTATGGGCATGGCAGATGACCGCGGGGGCTTAAGCTGTCTATTAAGTAATGCGGCATTCTGTAGCCGCCGTGTCCTTAGGCGTTTTAGATCAATGCATCAGAGAAGGGGTTAATTATCATAATAATTATGCGCAACAATATCAAGGATAGTCCGAATATTAGATATATTAGCCATCAAGACAAGCATCAAAGAAACAAATGAGTGTTGTTAAAAAAACGCGAAGAGGAAGTGAACTTGCTCGCGATATATAAGCCCCCGACCGGACGGTCCGCAGCACTATTCGTTTTGCCTCTATCGCTTGAAGTGGTCTAGGACGGATTTGTGTGTTTTCACATTTCATATTCAACTTAAGAAATATCAAAATACAAAAATGGCTTCCAAATTGTTCGTAAGTACAAACCTCGTCAACTGTTTCCTACCGAAAGCACAAGTCGCATTTGTTTTGACAATGTCTTTTTTAGGTATGCTTCGCTGTGCTCGTCTTGGCCGCCGTCGCCCTCGCTGAAGGACCCGCCGAAATGAAACAACAACCCGCCCAAGACATGATGATGGAACAACCCGAAGCCAAAACCGAAAACGAACGCGTGAAGAAAGCTGTTATCATCTCAGCAGCAAGTACGTATTTTTTCGGTCGTTAAATTTCGTTTACGCGTGCACAGGTTATGCTCGTCGATCGTTTAATCGTTACAGTTATATATTTATTTCGGCGGTCGTCAATTTTAAGTTTTTAGCGCTTTTCAAAAATCTAATTAAGCCACATCTTCCGCAAAGGGTAATTAAACTCTAGCGCCGTATAGGATTTGTACGCGACCATTTAGATAATAGTCTTGTCCTGGTCCTCCCAAACGATTCGCAATTCACACTGTCGAGAGTTTTATTTGTTTTTGGTGTAATGAGGTGTCACCGTGTATCTACTGTGACGTCGCTCGTTTCCTGTTTAATTAGTTTAATCCGGCTGTCATATCGCCAGGATCTTATTCGTACAATAATTAAAATTCGTGCTTAAGCTCTAGCGAAAAACAATTTAGTGTGCCAACTCTAAACAAACACTAAACCAATGTATTCTCTGAACAAACAAAAAATGTAAATAACACACATTACGTTAAACACGTTACTAATTCTTAAAAATTTTTATGGTCCGTTTTTATATCTACACGTAGTCTAATGATTATGCGATTTCGGTTGGAATATTACTGCTCATCAGACGAGCATACAATAAAATTATTCGGCGGAGATAAAATCAACTACAAAATGATAAACAAATATTTCAATGTAATTTTTAAAATTTTCGTCTGATATTCAGCCACAATCATTCGACTCGGGTGGAGAATAATAAAATATTTTTCACCGATTAGACTACCGCTGCGCGAAGTTCAAATTGTTGGTAAAAAACAAAAGGATTACCATGAATTGCGGACGATCATTCTTCCCTCTTTTGAAGTATATCATTTTAACAGTTAAGTCGAGAAAATTCCATTAAAAAAATAATTATAAACAAAAATTTAATACTCGTGTAACGCCTTCTTACTATTCACAGTTAAAGCAATTACTAACTTTTCCGGTTCTTTTGTTATGCTTTATTCGGTCAAAAGACAAAACTTCTAATCAAAAAAAATTAACGAAGGAATTTTGATCATTTTTTTGCCTTTTTTATTCTTTCGGACGTTGACTGTAGATTTGAATGCTTTGAACTTAAACCAAGAATAAATAACGTATAACAATTTCTCATTAAAAACATTTTTACTTTATTTTTTACACTTACGGCTTCTCGAAAAGAAAAAAGATTAATATATTTTTTGATTGAAAAACTTAAACGTCCAAGACATAACGAAAAAAATATAATCGTCTAAATAAAAATTTAAAAATCCTATTTGATTATTTTCGTGTAAAAATCCAAATGATACAATATTTATACTTGATCGTAGAATAAGATTTTTACATTTTTTTAGCTCGTTAGTTTTCACTCCGTCTTCATTTTTATAGCTGAAAATTAAATATCTGTAAATTTTCAATCTACCATTACGCTCGTGTTTTTTCCGGTGTTTTTGGGCGAATAGTTAAAATTTTTTAAGTTTAATGTGATCGCATTCCCAGAATTGTTTTAACTATGTTTCTAATATGAATTTTAGGTATTTTGAATTATCGTATTGTCTGACATATTCTTCTCTACATTTCTTTTAGAGTTTAATTCATTTGCTTTAATAAACTGTTGTTATAATATTGTTTTATTTATACGATTAATATTATTTTATAGCTGGTTACCCATATGGATATGGTTATGGATACGCCACCCCATACAGCTCTTCATACGCTAACTACAACTCTTACCCGTATGCCTATGGTTACCACGCATACCCATATAACCACAACTACCAATACCCGTCCGGATACGCCCGATCAACTTACCACTACAACAATGGATACTACCCATATAACAGCTGGTACGGTGGTAACTACTACAACAACTACTACAGATCCGGTTACCACTATCCATACGTATACTAGACGTTCAATAAAACTCCTCTGCCGAAAACACTTTGAACATCTCAAAAATACACTTAGCACGTAAGAACAGTTACATTTGCAAATGCCTTAGCGACGAACTCGATTTCACAATCAGCGATCAAATGCCATAATGGATCAGTTGAAAATATTGTATGGGTTGAGCTGTTCCTGCATAGCACATAAACATGCCATACGTTGTAGGGCTTCTTCTTTTTTTTTTTTTTTTAAGTATATATTTTTGTACACATTGCAATTGAATAAAATGTAAAAATGCATCGAAAATAATGTCAACGAGTTTTACTTAAACTTAAATTATAATTCTTAAAAAATATGTAATCTCACCCGGTCATTGAATGGCTCGACGACAGCGAGTCATCTCTGAAGAACGATGACGGCTGTAAGCTGAACCGTCGTTTGAATTGGTGTTTGCCCTTGGCACCGTCTCGAGGCATCGCCCGTTACTGCTCGTAAACAAAAACAAACATTTTACATATTGTTATACACTAATTAACGGCACAGTTTATACGCGAGAAAAACGTAAACAAAGAGGCTAACAACTTTTTGATTTGACGTAACAAACATTTTATTTGCTAGTCTGTAACAGTCGTGCAACTCGAGCCTTTGAGAGCTGTTTACTCGGCCTTGGCCAATAAATTCAGCTGAAACTTAGGTGCTCGTCTTCGATACGTAAAGCAATTTATAGCATCGTTAAAATTCAAATAATTGTAAAAGTCCACTGAAAACCAACGCGGGATGCCAGAGAACCGTAAGATAACATAAATTAAATAGTGTATGTATAGACACAGCGTTAATTTATTCCGACCGCGTATAATGAATTCAGCACATAAAACCTTAAGGTGTAAGGAAATAAAAGGGTTGCGCATTTCCAGAATAGTTTATTAAAAGTTGTCGGGCTTGAAACCCACTCTCTTGATTGAGCCTATTAGTGGCACTCTCGTTTACGCCAGTCGGAGTTAAAACTTGAATAAATTGCCTGTATAAATGCACTTATACCGTACAAAAAACGGCATTAACGAAATAGAAAACAGTTTGCTCTTCATAAAATTTATCGCATATTAAAAGAAAAAAAGCAATTACAAAACCATAAAGTTTTAGCGTTTTTAATATTTTTTTAAATCAGATATTATCACATTTAATTGAAAAAAAAACATAATTGTTAATTTTATCAGGATAACGTTTTGCATCTTGGTTTTTTTTTAAATATAAACATTTTTTGTAACGGTATCAAAAGTAAGTGATGACTTTCAATACCTACCTGAGAAGTAAGGGCCGATGTTTTACAATTACTATAAAACCAAGTGCTATTGATAAAGTAAAATACGAGAATATCCAATTAAAAAAACGGCGCTTTGAAGAATGAATAGAATAATGGTAAAGACGAATGTGTTGTCATTACCAAGTACACGTCGGTGTGGCGTCGGCGATCGCTCATGAAGCCGAACCACTCAACAGGTGTGTCGAATGAAAACGAACTTAACGAGGTCGAACTTCTCTCGGCGGCGGTTTTTCTGTCGTTCACACTGTTCCTCTCCCACACACACACACACACACTACCCCGTTAATTCAAAACCGCGCACGTCCGTACTTTGTGTTTTTGCACTTATTTTTTTATCGCAATGTATGAAAGGAAATGTGTGCCGGCGGTGCCGCGAACACGACGAGTGAGGCCGAATCACTGCGGAGCACACATTTAGAAGGATTTGCACGGGACGACTGGGGAAGTCTGCAGAAAAGCGTTTACTCCCGTCCCTTGGCGCTGTGCCACGCGCATGCCGGTCGCTATAACCGGCGCGGTTCACACTCTTTCCGCGGTCCCGTGCTGCCTAGTAAACACCCTAGTAATGCGTCTATCCGCTTCTTTGGTTAGGGCCCAACCGCACATACCTCGTAAATACTAAACGCGTATATGCATGTGCGAGTCAGTTTGTTGTGGTGTCCGCGGTTAATCTGTGGCGCACACGGTACATAACATGTTTCAGCTTAATTTGTACCGTTCAAAAACTTATGAAACGCGTTAACCGACAAATAGAAAAATGGCCAGGACTTGACCGAATTCGGACTAGACGATTGTACAGTTGATATTAATGCGAAANAAATGTGGACTAGACGATTGTACAGTTGATATTAATGCGAAATAAATTCATTGTGCTTTTAAACAATTAGTAGAATAAATATGGACACTGATAATACGCATTTTAAAATGGCTGTGCGACTCGACGTCGCAGTTTGCACATAACTCGATCGTTATTTTGATTCAATTTGAATTTTCAAAAACATTATAAATAAAATATCATGTCAACGTTTTCTGTCATGTTTAATTCTAGTCCTTGTACTCGTCAAAAATGTCCAAAGATAATTCGTACCTATGATTTATCATTACCGTGTCATGTCAACAGTCTGTTTTAATTAAATAATTGAGATCTACGTGATTCTTGCGTTTGTACTGAACAGTGACGAGAAAAAAGTTTATTCGCGTACGGAGAAATTTTAATCTTATCGTCAATTGTATACGTAATAAGATTTAAGTCCTTAACATTTTAGTACCATAAAGTTAATGTTTTAGACACTTCCAATTAAATAGATTTGACTAATTAATTTTTATCGATTTACACTAGCTGAACAAATATTTGTTATTTATTCACGCGCTTTTGTTTTGCAACCCAAATAAAATGATGGATTTTTTTATGCACAACCTGAGCACGTTTCTACGGATTTAACTCACAGTTTTCTGAAGGTATACTGACACAATGATAAACGTTAGCCTACCTTCGAAAATAAATGAAAGATATTTTTTTGCTAAGTAAAACGGGGAAGTTTAACGTACACCTCTCCCGATATCTTAGTCGCTTTATTAATATAGATCTGTGTATATATTGTTTTACTTAATGACTGTCTCGGTACATTCGCGTAATAAATTATCCAATATAAACTATTCTAAAAGATTTAACTAAACTCATTTAGATAACGAAATACTGGCAGTTATAATTAATACTATTCGTATATTTATGACAAACTAGATAAATAATAAATAAACGTATAAAACTGTTTTAGAGATTTTTAACCACATTAATTCTATCACAAATACCTTGTTGGCTATTAATTTTTGTGGACACACATTTTTAAATTTTAATTATTAAATTTTTAAATTTTTAAATAAATTTTTATTATTGTAATGAAAACGTAATAAAATATTTAATTTTTCATGCAAATAAATAAATGATAAATATTTAAATTATAATTTAATTAATAAAATAATGATTATATTGTGCCAATAGTTTTGTATTAATAACATTAAAAAAGTTAAATTGCAATTCTTTGTTAATTGTTTAAAAATAAAAGCATATTTAATCAAATTTCGTACTCGAGTAACTTCAAAAGTCAAATAAACTTTAAAAATATTTTGCGGCATCTTAAACTAAACATTTATATATAATAATTAAAAACAAACTTTTAGTTAGTTTTCCCTTTAGTAAACAACATCTTTAAGTTTGTGCGGAAATAAAAACAACTTTTCTGTTATTTTGACTTCAAATGACCAAGTACATTATTTTATAACTGACTTCATTGAGAAATAAACATTTTTTTCTAACTTTAAGCAGTAAATAGATAAAGCGTCATATCAGCAGGTATTGATATGGAAATAAAATAAGGCAAGATACTTTTTAGGAGAAAAATCTAAAAATTGGGTTGCCTTTGACGTAACGTCACGTTCGTTTTTGAAACATAACTAACCAGTTAATCAAACGAATCGATTTTTCAAATATTCACTCAAACCACTCGAACAAAATTCGAAATAATAACAATCAAAGTTCTAATAAAAATTAAAAAAGTCAAAATTAACAATATAAGAAAATAAATTAATAAAACATTGAATTGAGTGAGTTTTTATATAATTTAAGCAAGACTTTTTGATTATATATATTTATACATATATTTTTTAATACTCTTTTTCACTCTAATTGGAAGAATAATTTGAATTTTTCAGTTTTTCTTTTTGTTTCTTTTTACTTCAGAAACAAACAAACCTTTAATGTTTATCATTCCAAAAATAAAAACTTTTTATTTTTATTGGCTTTTTTTTATTTTATTGTACTTTTAACCTACTTTATACTTTTTTCATAGATGAAAAAGGAACAATTGTCATTTTTCCAATCGAATTTGAATATGTATTTTTTGATATAATGTGTTTTACATAACTTCAACCAAATGTTTCAGTTAAATAAATTACATTTTTTTAATGGAAAAAATTTTATATAAAACTAATATTAATAAAAAATAATGGATTTGTTATATAGATAATTTTAGCATATATTTTTTTGTCAGCTTAATTTAAAAAATAAATCTACACTAGTCAAAACTCAGTTTATAAAATAAAAAATATAACGATATTATGATTTTTAGAGAGTTATTAAAACTAAATTTAATCAAGTCTGACAATTGAATCCAAGTTTACTTTGGCCAGTTACCAAATATTAATCATTAGTTTCGATCTGCGCGTATAAGCACTGCTGTTAAGCTGATTCTACATGCATTTAATCACTTATGAAAATGCACTTTTGTTTAGATTACTGATTAAATTACAAAAAATTTATTTGTAATACTTGGCACTAAATACTTAGAGACGTGTAAAATTACCTTAGTAACAACCTCAATCTCATAATAATACCCAGTGGCGTAATCTTACAATAACCAGCCAAATTTCTCTACTAGTATAAAAATTTGACTGAAACCCAAAAAAAACATAAAAAGTTCCTTTCTAATTCAATTAAAATGTAAAAAAAAACATATAAGTATTCTAAGAAGTGAAAAAGGCACTCTAAATTTATTGTTCCTCCTAATGCATCTTTAATCTTTGCAATACCCTATTGACGTCACTGATAATACACAACTGTATAGTATACAGTTATATAACTGTATAATGGTGTTATTTTGATGTTTTGCTCTGTTTATACTCTTATAAGTAATAATAATAATCCATAGAACGTTTTGGTTATAAGTAAATTATTCTAATCCGTATTCGTGTCTATAGCAACTTTCTATCACAAATTCGTTTAGCGTTTCTGTGTATGACTATGTGTATATAAATAAATGTGTTAAATACTAATTCCTACTCACGAATACATTGAGTTGCGTAGGGGTTAATTAGACAAAGAGTAAGTTTAGTAGAGCTGAGATTGATATCTAATCGGTTTGGGTTTTCACCTAAAGTTATTTTTGTATCAGAAATCGTTTAAATAAAATTGAAAAGTATTTGAGGATAATTTTTAAAATATCTTCTTTAGAGTTAGTTAAAGTTTTTAAACTTTTTAATAAACTTTTTACAATTAATTTTACTTAGTTTAAATATTTTGTTGATTAATGAATTAAAAATGAGTTAATTTATTTCGTACATAATGAGTTAATTCAGTGGCATATTTAATAGAGATAGTGGGTTATGACACCCTCTTGAAGAGTTCCTACAATATTTTATTTGTATAACTATAAAAAAGTCTAAACTTGAAAAATATACTTATAGTAAGCTAAAATATTATAATCATAATTATCTACGAGATTTTATATACAAATAACCTACTCATTTACATCCCATTAGGAAAAATACTCCGTATGTACATATAAATACTTAAACTTTTTTATGATTTACTGTATACAATGAAAGCACAATTAATTATTTTGATTAACAATCAGATTTTTTTTTCAATGCTTTTTATTACCTTATAGAAAATTGTGTGAAAAAACGCAGATGAACAAAAAAAACTAATTATTTACTGATTACTAATAATTTTTTACTTTTATTTTATTAGTTCTAACACATTTTTTGTATCTTTCATTTATTTAGACTTTTTTTCAATATGTTTAAATTAATGATTATGATTATTCCAATTATATTTATCATACAATGCATACAATATTATTTTGACTAAAACATATTTATTTTTTAGCCTTATCAAAGAGTTGAGAAATTAATTCTATTATAATATATTTTATTATGTTGAAAGATTTTTATTGCAAAAATCCTAAAACTCGTTTATCATGACCTCTTGGTATGAAATTGTGCTATAGATGCTTAGCTTAGAATTAATTCATTGTATCTGGAATGTAAGATGACTTTTTGAGAATTCTTCAAATAAAATTGTATAATCTATGATATTAAAAACCCAAATCGTTTACCCACTAGCCTTTTAAAAACACTTGAAACTGTATAATTTAAGCCATACTCGAGCGATAAAAAATTTTACGTATTTATAAGTCTATAAACGTTTTCACTTTTAAATACATTTTTTTATTTTTATTTATAAATCTTTTTTATAAAATAATTGTTTATTCGTCAATGAATAATATTAATATCAATGGTCTTGGTATATAATTGAAATTTACACTCGCACATGATTTTTTGAACAAAATTGACAAAATTTTGTTATTTTATTCTTTTAATAACAATACTAATTTTTCTCATAAATACATATGTTTGTAATTTAAAAAAAATTAATTAATATTTATTTACTTTTGAGATATTCAATTGTATAAAATTTTTTTTTTTTAAATAGGAACCCTTTATACATAACTATAATAAACATGCGTAGGTCAAAAAAAAAAAAATGTCAATTTTATCAATGATTCAGGAAATCTTATAAAGTTTCAAACATATATCAAATATAAATTCATCTAACATACTACTGTTTATTATATTTATTAAACTAGAAATTATGAGCTTCTTTAATTCTACAGAAGCGATG